GGAGGATTTGAGAAAGGAAATATGTTGTCTCCTTAGCATCTTAAACACAAACTAAGAATTGATATGTATTTACTTTTCTGATGTCTATGTAAAGTCACATGCAAGCATGCATGTATGCATGCAGCCACACACACACACGCTAACAGCATGGCAAAATAGAACATCTAAAGGCTCTGCATGGCTTGTCGCCCTTTTTTTATTACATGCTTCTATAGAGGGAACAGCAGCCTGGCAGAAACTAACAACTAACTGGGCTTCACTGGGGATATTAACTTCCTCTTCGCTCCAAACAGGAATGCTCCAAGACTAAAGCAGGAATCTGTAGCAGTCTGATGCTGCGGCAGTAACAAAAAGCTCACGTGACTCCTTCACTTTTAAGCAGTGTGCCTTTAGTCACCTACAGTTTTCCTAGAAGCTATTTCTTTCCAGGGAGACAAGACGGATGTCAGAATTGGGGTTTTTTTAAACAAATATGACAAAGTAAAGTAGCATAGCTTCTTTAAGAAGTCCTTTATTAAAACAGAGGACTAATTTTCAAAAAATAAAGTTATTGCTATTAGAAAGGGATGATTCCAAGGTCCAGGAAAAACATTCGCTACATTATTCCCAAGGAAGTTACAGTCTTAACTTACTCACTTCCTCTCTAGGCTAATCTTTGTGGGTGTAAACATTTTGGAAAACAATATTATAAATCACACTCACATGATCTCAGACCTTCATTTGATTTAATGTTGACATTTTTAGGTGTGATGTCTATCTGTCCTTCAGCAGTCCCCTTCCAGTTTGACATTTGAACATTCCATTTACAAACTTAGATAATATAAATTTAACTTGGAAACAAAAATTGTAAAAAGTATTTGAGAAAGTGAAGGACAGGTGATTATCCAGTCAAACACTGAAATGCAGTGTTATTTTTCCCCACAAACACTGAGCCCTTTGACTGAGAAACAGGGTCCACAAGATAAAATTCAGAGCATGGTTGCCAGAATCCTTAAAGCAAGGCTATCTTCCACCAAATAAACATAGCATCTAACCCTTCCAAGTGTTCTTGATCATACATACTGTTAGTGATAGGCAGCCAAAACATGATTTTTAAACACATTCTGCAGGAGAATATTGTTCACTTTCTTTCCTTTGTTAGGGACTGAGAGGCTTAGTGTTAGCTACTGCCTTGTCAGAACACAGACGGTAATAAAACAGTAGGTAAAGCACATTAGTCCCTTTCAAAAACTCAACCAATTCTTCAACTGCTGGTTATTTTTTATTATTATTAATTTTTTAATTTATTATTATTTCCACCAAGGGTAACAGGTTATGCCACTTAAGGAACGACTCCAAAATCAGCCGTTTTCCTCTGACCTACTTTCATTTAATTAGAATTGCAGGTTCCAACCACTCACTTAACTGTTGATAGCAGAAGAATATATAAACACATCATAAATATCACAGAGAAAAGCAACTATCTTTGGAAAGGCTAAGGCAAGCAATGCATCCTTACCTTGCTGCTGCTGCTAAGAGGTTCTTGGCATTAGGAGCTCCAGGATCAACAGAGAGAGACTTGGCAGCTAGTAACAACTTGCTGGAAGCCATAGAGATGCTCTTGAGGTTACCTATTACTTGAATCTGGTCCTCTTTAGTCTGCAAAGCCACAGCAGCATAACATTAAGTGCAGAGTTTGCAATAAGAGCGTGCTAAAACCGCATTTGGAAACCCAGTTTGTTTATCCACCTGAAACCACTGACATGCTGGGGACCATAGTCCAGACAAGGAGATGGACCAAAACCTCTGTTCACCCGGACAGGTGCCTCTAGCTTCACTTACATAACCGAAAAAGAAACCCATATCACAAATAGCTTGGGTCCTAACAATAGCAGTATTCACAAATGAGCAGTGGAGAAACTTTACTACTTGTTGAACAATGCTTTTGTTGTCAAGACTCTCATGTGTCTCTGCCTGGCACAACTGATCCACGTTATTCAGTCAGTGTACACTGTCTGTATTCTAGCATCCTCTGTGTAACCCACTGGGTCTCTAGCATCTAACTGGGATTACTCACACACAAAGATCCCTCACGAAAGTCCTCTATCCCAACAAAATATGTTTCTGTAAGCCTACTTTAGTAAACATTTTAACTTGGATGTTCTATTACTTTAAAGCATTGCTTGAAAAGGAAAACCTGCATATACATACAATTAACAGGAAAGTACATTATTACAGCAAATAGCTGTGACTAGATTCTTCTGTCAATGATCAGTAGAAGTGAATCCATTCTTTCTAATGGTCTGTTCAAGATTCTATGTAAAAAGGTGGCATGTTACTCAGCTGATGTGAATATTTTTTCTCTGTATTTACATTCTGCTTCCTCCCTACCCCCTCATTTTGTTGGGCATCCAAAATACCTGGTATTGCTTCTGTTCAGGGCAAATAACTAGACACAGACAGAAAGCATTCCCTTTTGAAAGATCAGCCGTTAATAACTAAGATGGCTATCACCCCCTACATCAGCAGGATAAGCAAATCAGCAAGGGCCACATCAGCAGCGGCAGGAATTCCCTTTTCAAATAGCTATTTGCAGTATCATTTCTACCTTTGCCTTCACTGAATTCCCTCAGACAAAACATTCTAAAAGTCAAGGAGGCCCATGGCTAAAAAGAGAGTCAGATACCTAATTCTTACTCTGTTTCAGGGAATCAGCTGATATTTGGTGCCTAACTCACTTCATGGATCTGGAACCTGAATGATTAAGTTTTGATGGAGAATAACCAGCAGTCATTGTCTGATCTCTCTACTCAGTTTTATCTACAAAGCATCTGCTCTACAAAGACACTTCATAAATGACTTCAAAGGACTGGCACACTCAAGACTTTCTGGCTACTTTTCTTTCAGCAATCCTTTCTTAGGTTTGCAAGTTCCTCCTACTAACTAGGGCAAAAGAGTCTGCAGATTCTTTTCTTTGCAAGTCCTCCTAACTCACCTGGTACACAACCCTTTTTTATACACTGACATTTCTTAGTTAAATCATCTCCAAATAACCAAATAGTGTAATTCAGTATACCTAACTCAGTAAGATAAAATGAAGAAGATATCTACAACTTCAAATGAGTCCCTAGACTACTGGGAATAAGCTAGGTAATACGTGACAACATTCTTGATTGTTATCAAACTCATCAGAATAGAACTCGGCCAGATTTTAAAAATCACTAAACAGAAGTCGAAGGGCTTGTTCTCAGATCCATGGCATTTTAACCAGCCCTCTTCAAATGCTTGTTCCACCCTGCTTGTTCTACACCAGCATGGACCACAGAGCAATATCCGGTCTAGATTTTAAATGCACCTTTTCTTCTGCCTACTTAATGCATTTGAAAATTAGCAAAGAAAAGTGCTAAATTTTGAACAGTGTTCACATAAATTATGCTTCATGGTAGTTCTACCAAAATAGAAGCAACTCTTTCTGTAAGCTTTGAGAGGTTCAGTACACATTTGTACCTTCAGATATACAGCTGAAATAACAGCCCAAACTAGACAGAGGAGTATGAAGTCATATTTCTGACTGGGCATAGGAACAAATATCAGTCTCCTGCATAAAAAGCAAATGCTGAGTTGACTTTACTCCAGATAACCAGTTATGGATGACTGCTTTGTAACAAACGTCACCTGTCATATTTGGATAGGTTCACACTAAATTACTGTACTGCACTACAAGACAACCAAGATACTGCACTGCAAGATACTATGCCAAATATAACCCTTGGCCACAGCTGGCAAGATAAAAAAAACTTACTTGCGCTTGGCCAGCCATTTCAATACCAGCATCAAGAAATTCATCAAAATCATCGCTGAATTTTCCAGAGGCTGCAGCCAGTTCCCCACTTTGGCCCCGTGTAGCATGGACAACTTCTCCTGCTGACTGATTCAAGTCTGCTGCTGCCTGGTTCAGTTCACTCTGAGCTTCTTGAAATGACTTAGAACTTGGAGGTAGCTGTAAGAGACCAAGCGCTGCATTTTATTTTCCAGCACGTCACACCAGCCCTTTGCAACTGGAAATTTCAACACAATTCAAGAACACTAAATGCAATACAGTCGTGAGATTCACATTAAAGATAGAATAGAGTACTGCAACTGGGCTGCTAGTGATTCAGTTCTGAATGCAGAATAGTCCAACTATGGGACAACTTATCAACCAGAAATCTATACAACCACCTTAGTCCTGCAGTTTCTTTCAAGGGACAGACAAGTCTGTAAGCCTTTAGAGGGACAGAGATGGCAATAACTATTTTATTGTTCAACTACGAAATTCGAAGTGAGGAACTCAAGTGGCAAAAGTTGGAGAGTTTTGGTCTCCAAGTCATCATTTACTTCCACAAACAAGCTTTCCAAAACACCACACAAGTATTGGCAGCTCTTCACAATGACTTTAAACTCCTGACCTGGTTTTACCAAAAGGCATTGCACAGACATATCAAAATACATTCCTTCATTCACAGGGTACCAAGATCACTGGTAGGTGCAGAAAAAAGTTGTTCAAATCATATAATGTTCCAGGAAATTACCAGCGCACAAAGGGTGTTTTATGACATGGACGTCATTACACATAAATGTAACAATTCTTCTCCTTGCACAAAATTACCATAGATGCACCAAACATTTTTTGACCGACCACAATGCTCCTTAAACTGAACTGACCACTTCTATATAGGAAATGGATTGTACCTTTTGAATTTTCATATTCTTCAAATGTTAAGTCACAGTTGGCATTTTCAAAAAAACAAATGGTGATCTCTGACAACTTTAATAGTGCCTTCATAAACGACAGACACATTTTACCTTTCCCATAAACTAGAAGAACACCATTTCAACCAAAGTAGCAGCTACTTAAAGTTGCATAAACTTAACAACACTTACATAAAGTACACTTAGGGCACATTTACTACGTAATAATTTGACTCATGGGGAACCTAGATCTGCTTTTCTGTTCTCTGACATTTATTTCTATGTTAAAAGACATCTCACCGAATCAACAAGGAGCTTCTTGCTAGATTCCCCAATACTCTTCAAAGCCACATCCACATCCTTTTGTCCAGGCAGACAATTCACACAGTTATTCAAGGAGTGAGACACTGCTTTTGCCACCTACAACACATAAGTAAACACATAAACACCAAGAAAGGCTTAAGTGGTCATTTATCTAATAGGAGGCACATTCTGTAGCCAGCAATTCCTGCATTCCAACTCTAACAAGACCAGTTTTGAGGCTTCTCTCTTTCTTGGTTTGCTCACCTGTAGTCCAGCAGTAGCAATTATTTATGCTCACCCATTTGACAGAATAGTGTTCGCAGGGCAGCTCCACAGCCGCTGCTGGCACCTGGGATAAAGGCTGCAGCACAGCAGATAAGGGAATGCCCCTGAAGTTACCCATACACTAATCACAGAAATCCTTGGCATGCTACTTTTTTCAAAGTCCTCATTAAAACAACTGTCTCCTCATAAGAAATTATTTAAAATACAGACCAATTATATAACTTTTCAAACCAGTAAAAAAAGAACATGTTACTTTTTGAAGTCTTCAAAAACAGTGGTGTCACATGTAGAAAACATGCATTAACTTTTTAAATATAACATGAATTCAGATCCTTCATTTGATAATGATCAGTTTAACAAGGGTTTCATTTTTGCAGTCAAGCAGCCTACCCAAATATGTTGTGGGTAAAAGCACTTAACTTCATCTCTGTATAAGTTTATCTTTCTAAAAGATGGTGCAAAGTATATTTTAGTCATCTGCATTGTTTAACATAAGCATGTTGATACTGTCTGACTCTTGCTGGAAGGACTAGAAAGCTGACTTTCCTTGCAGCCTTATTTTCTGTTGTTCTCTCTCATTATTTAATGATTCATTTCACTGGGTATTCGATAATCCATGTAGTTGTTCACACAGCAACTTACCTGGGCCAATCTCTGCTGACTGTCTGCATCCCCTGGTGCAGCCAGGGCCTGCTTCGCCTCCTGAATAAGCATAGCAGAGCCTTCCATGACATCCCTTGCTGAATCCAACATTGCATGTGCTGCTACAGGGTCGGTAGTAGATGCTGCAACCCCTCGTGCTGCCTGAGCCAAAGTCTTCAAAGCCTGAGCAGTCTCTCTGGCAGCAACTCCTGTGTTCAGATTTCATCAAGGATTCTATTAGTACCTTTAAAGACGATCTTTGAATTTAATGACAGATGAATTTGCAGGTAATGATCCTATTGCAAAATAACATTGCAAATGCAGTTTAAAAGAAACTCTTCAAACATGAACACATTTGAAATACGCAGCACCATTTGCTTAGAGAAATGCCTGTAGTGAAGCCATAAAGTAAATATTATACCCAAAAGACAAAGTTCCAGGCACAGCTCTACATCTGTGACTGAATCTTAGTGAAGCACTGAAAAAGAAGAAAATCTAAAACCTGGAAATGAGGAAAAACCTCATACTCCAAGCTATGGGGGAAAGTGATTTTCTGCAAGAACAGTGTACGTGACATCAGAGCTACATCATCTCAGCTACTTCTGAAAATGCAACTTTGGATTTTTTAGAGACTAGACACAGCAATAGCTTACGTTCAAGTAATTAAAAAAAATTAGAAGAGATTATTAGGGATGACATAACTTGATATAATCTAACGTCACTGTGAGTAAAAGCACATAAAAATAGCTGAATAAAGTCACAGAGAGGATGTCATGAAATTAGTTTCTGCGATCTGTCTGGCCAACATTATAGCATATTCATCAGCTCTAGCACTAAGGCGTAAAACTATATGAATAATGGTCCCATTCTTCTATTTTTGAAATTTAATTCAGTCCTTAATGAAAACCAATATAAAATATTCTTCTAAAAGAACTTAATTAGCACATAGTCTGGTCAACAACATATGCAATTAACGTAGGTGGTATATTTCAAGCGATAATGTTAAAATCATGCTACTCCTACAAAAAGAAAGCTATAGGAAAGGTTCACATTTGCTGTACAAGACCACTTGGTTATCCATATGCAGGCATTAAAATAAATTAGAATGTCCTAATATCTCTATTGGAAATACTTAGAAAGCTGGGACATCACAACCAAATATAAACACACAAAGTAGCCACATTAGTGTTGTAACACCAGTGCCTTTTAGCTTTTTCTCTTCCGATCAACTGATCATTTTTAAACACAGAAACTTTAGAAGATAGTGAAAAGCAAGTGATATTACATGTCAAAGTAAAGCCAAGCTAGGCAGAGAAACAGCACTCACTATGTTGCAGTTACAACCTTTCTATTTGATGAACCACAGAAAGCTTTCTACGTTCTTAATTTCAAGAAAATTTCAGGAAAAATATACACATTTTGTTTCCTTTATTTAGAGTACCAGTAAGCATCTTTTAAGTTTGATTTAATTTATCACAGCACCACAAAATAAAAAGGTATGATTGTTTTGCTTTCACTTTGGTGCTGCTTTCATCCCCTACAATGAAGTTTCCTCAGCTACAGTCTAGCATTAGTCATGTGATTGAAACATGAAAAAACCACTGTGACAGCTGCAGACAAGAGGGAATTATTAAATAGTGAATATAAGCTGTAAAGATTCTTTATCACAGAGAAACAGCAGTTTTGCATAACAAGACAGTATGAGATAGGAAATAGTTATATGACCTTTGAAAAGGAACTCATTGCTTTGCAAGATTTCCCAACAGGAGTCACCTTAATGCAATTACGTCTGCTTCAAATGCAAGTTACTGTAAGGTATGTAGCCCTGATGCACCTATATCCAAGGAAGTGGTAATTGCCATAATGCATTTTATCAGTAATATTTTCAAAAAATCCTACTGTAGCATTTGCTCAACAGCTTACAGAAATAAGAAGACAGAACATTTTACAATCTAAGAGTAAACCTTTTTTCCCACCTGCAGGGAGCATTTTCCTTATAAAGGAGGTTTTGGTTTCTAAAAAGTACAGGTACAAAACGAAATTGCAGAATCTGCGTGCCCACATTCCCTGTTGGCTTTAACTCAAACTATGCAAATGTGATCAACGAGTCAGAAAGACTAGCTGCATTATACATGCAAACTGGTAACATCTAGTACGAGATGCAGTTTTAAACATCACCAAGCTGTCCCAAGTATGTTTGCATCCTGTGCTTCAAAAAATATTCGAAGACCCTTTTACCCTTCTGAAATGATATAGCAACATTTCCAGTGGCACTGACCTTTAAATTGCATTACATTTTAGTTCTGTCCTTCACAGAGTTTGTGGCATCTATTTACAAAAACAACAGATGTCTCTATCTATTCTGATTACATACAGACACACATTGCAACACTATTCTTTTATGAAGCACATGATTTACATTAGCAATTCCTAGTAACTTGCCACAATTCACTATCAGCATAAAAAAAAAGTAAGCAATCCCTTGATTTAAGTAGTCTGTGGTAAGAAAACCTTCTATCAAGTATTCTATGAAAAACAGAGGTTTTGCAGAGACATTATGAATAAAACACTACCTGTGTAGTGCTCATTGCCTTGAGCAGCACAAGTTAACAACTGGGCCATTGATGAACCAACTGCTTTGGACGTACTTCCCAGGTCCTGAGCGCATTTCTCAAGCTGTGAAAAATTGCAAAGGAAAAAATTCTTTGTTTAAGCTCAACTAAAACACACCTGTTTTTCAAACAATATGAAAAAATTCCTCATTCCACAAAACCCAAGGTTTTACCTCAGCTACCAAAGACACACAGAGTTTCTCTGAAATCTGATTAGCATGTTTTCCATGTCCATGAGGAAATAAATTAACATATTAGATAATACAAACAACAAAACTATTTTATAATTAACAATGGAAATCAATACCTTCATCTGAGCAGAAAGATGTTTTTGCCAAATAAACCATGTCACTTTCTACACCTACCAGGACTGGTAGTCTTAGAACTACTGAGTTCTCATCTTAGACACTTTGAAAAGAAATTTTTTTGACAAGAAAAGATCGAAACATTACCGCTACTAAATTCTAATTTGTACAATAGAGAAGGAGGCTCTACAGTCCTATGAGTAATTCTGGCACAGAACATGCTTCTGGTGCAGAAGGAATATATACTCTTTTCAAGAGAATTAGTGCAAAATCCTATCAGCATTACCATTATCCAAAGCCTCACGACTTGTTTTGCCTCTAATACTTAGAATTTTTTTAACAGCTAACTTTGTCTGTCTGTTTTTAAATGAAGAACATCCATCCTCAATTACAGTTTCTCCTGGGAGAGGTTTTAACTGTCCATCCACAGCTGCCATCTTCGCATCTTGCAGTTCATTCTTGAGTGTCTGGACTGTATTCAAAGCAGAATCAATTTCCATTGGGCCACATGCTTCATGAGCCTATTCAGAAATCAGATCAATATCACTGTCAGCAGCTGTAAGCCACTATCAGAAATAGTAAATGCTTCAAACATAATCTCCCCCTCCCAAAGTATTGCTTTAATGACTGTGGAGGCCATTGCAGGCACTTCAAGTGTTACACATCACGGATTCTAAACTCCTGCACAATATTCTTAAGTCGTAAACAGAGTAACACACTGCTAAGAGCCACCAGGGGAATGAGATGCGCTTAGCTGGGGTACACATACCTTCACACCAGGCAGTCCAAGTACTGTGAAAATAACTGCTGCAGTCCGGACTTCACCTTTGACAAATAGCCTAACTATGCATCATGACTAAAGGCACACTGAACCCTCTGATGTGGCAGCCCAAAATCACCAGTACCCGAGCTGGAAATTTTGACATTAGCTCAGGTGTAACCACCTATATGATAAAATCTTCTTCTTGGGCCCCAGTATACACACAAAAAGAAAGCTGACTTTCCACTCACAATTTTTATTTTTTTTTTAAACCCACACATAGTTTAGAAATCTGTGTGTGAAACACAGCCAGCCTCTGCTTCCCTGAATTTGAGAGATGATAGCTCCAGTTCACAATCACAATACTGACCACAGCAGTGCCATATTTGGGATCTCCCCAGCTTGGCAGGTGCATCCCCGTTCCCCACTTTCCTTCAGATGTAACAGCAGCTCAGAGCTTTGACGGGCTGCTCTGTGTATACCCTATCTCTCTGGCATGGAAAGCGTAGCACAAGCTTTTCAGTTTTCTTGCCACTTCTCCCTCCTCTTTCTATTATGACACAGAAGCCACCTTAGAGTCTGCGCAAACTGTGCACAAGAAGCAACACGGAGAAGTGAATGCTGCCTGAGCATAAGCCATTCCCCTGGGCCAAGCAGGAGTGAGCCTATGACCACCATGCAAGTCATCTTGCTTTAGCTGATCAAAACTAGTATTTACCTACCTTCTGGGATGCGGTTCGTAGCTCAGCTAAGCTGGTAGCAAGGTTCTTTGCACACTGACTTAGCTGCATTGCTGCTGCTTGATCAGTCACAGTGGGGACTGCAGCTTTAGCAGATGCCACCATTTTACTTCCAGGCTGTTCAAAGAAGAGCAGTGAACTCAATTGGTTTTATTAGCTCATTTTCTTTAAAGAAGGCTTAGGGTTCAATACACAAACTGCTTCCTGCATTCACACACTCATAAGATTTTTAGGTCTTCTGTAATAACTGTCTCATGCACTTTCCTGCCCCTTAACCATGCATCTTCTGGATCCCAGTCTTTTATTCATATGCTGCACCCTGTCATAATTCCACATTGCAGTGTCCTCTCCAGCAGGACTCATTTGTGCTTTACTAGTATTGTGACTACTTCATTGGTACCAATGTCTGCCTGAGGCCATTGAGTAGTCATGTAGACCACTTAAAAATATCTAAATGTGCAGTTTTGCCATTCAGCACCCATGTGGTACGAGCAAGTCCAGGTGGCACAGATGGCAAATTTGTCTCAATGTTTCTAAATATTAAACTCTGCCAAAATTCTACAAACTGAAAACTGTAATTCAAGCAATGACTCTTCACAGACTTTGCTGTTAATAAAATTAAAATACTTTGCTGATTCTCACCATGGTACACACATGCAGCCAGAGGGGAGATGGATCACTTTAATGACCATGTCATTATATGGAGAATTGGTTTCTTCTGTTTGTTTCTTGTAATGTCAACAGATACCCCGATAGTTTTGTTATCAATACTCAATATTATTTTTTTTTTGTAAGATGTTTTGGAAGAAACAGAGTCAAATTTGTCAAATTTTGTGTTTTGTTCAAAACTTCAATCAAGATCCATTAGACATGCAGACTAGTATCTAAAAAAACATAGTAATATTCCCTCTTATTTGCAAAAAGTTCTGGAGCTTGTTGCTGCAACACTAAATTTACTTTCACCAAGAAAGGTTACAACAGCATCTCACATATTCAGACCTCTGCTTAAAAAGATGCTGAATTCTCTCCATATTGTTCTTTAAACTCTTTCACAGAAGGCAAGTGCCATAGCAATGAATGTTTGTTCTCCATACACTTTGGTCTTTTATTGTCAATTTTGGCAGTTGTCACTCTCCACAGATTGAACATACTTCAGCCATCTGACCCAAGGAACTAAATTCTCCTTAGCTATAAGCTCACAGTCAGCGATGAATGTCTGTACATGGTTCTTAACAGTTTACTGCTTATTTATCACAAACAAAAACATACAGCACTAAGAAATGCTTTTTGCTTTGATGGAATCTACTGCAGTGATCAATTCATTTCACCTGAAGGAAGTTCTGGCTGGAATTTATTAGAGCAAGCTGGGCACTGAGATCTTCTGCCTGAGCTTGACTTCCTCTTACACCCTGCACCAACTGAGGAATGTGGTCTGCAACATTCTATAATAAACAAAGGGAGAAGCTTTTAGTAGATAAATAAAGACTCCAAATCCTACGACACTACAGCAAGCCCTCTCCCCACCCGCCTTAAAGACAACCTGTAGTATTCACAGGTACAATACTTGTGCCTTCACAGAATTTAAGGATTCCATAAAACTGAATTAATACATGATAGGACTTCTCAGAGACATTCTACTTCTACTTAAGAAATCTTTATTCAATCTACTCATCGGTTCAAAGTTCCTACAAGACAATTTAAGATTTTTCTGCAAAATTATGTACACAAAGTATTCTGAAATACTTCCTTTGCATGTTCAAATGCCAGCAGTGGAGGAGACAGATTTTTCAACAGGATGTCTTGCTTTCAGAATAACAATGTCTTTTACCCACAAGCACCTCAGCTCACTTTTACTTGACTTCTAACAATACAAACTTTACAGTATGGTTGGAGCATTCTGAAGTGTCTATTGCTAAAACTTTATTCCCGGACTGCCCAGATTCATGCTCCTTGTCTATGCATTTCACAGTAACACTTACTTCAGCAGTGCAATACTAATTTAATTCTTTTTCCCCCCAAAAAAGTAAAATAGTAAGTATCTCATCTTCTCTGCTACCTAATAAACCATCAAGATCAAATTAGAATGAACTGTAAACAATGCAGTGATTCAGCTTTGTGTAGGTTTTTTTTTAGTTCATACTGAAATAGCAGCTCCCTTGAACACAATCTTGAGATGTACTTGACCTACCTTATTTAATTTCAACATTTCTTAGGAATACCACCATGAAAAGAAATAATTGTTGAATGTTAATGTGGCTTTTCATGATGCCTTCTTTAATGTTTTTTTTCCTCGTTCCCTACATAACTGCTAATCCATCCAGAAGAAAACCCTTTTGCATTCTATTGTCTTTTTCAATTTTTGTTTAAATGCCATTTCTTTAAAAACCCTGAAGAAACATTAGTCAGAGCTAGACAGTAAGCTGCCAAATGTAGCTAAACACAAAAAAGAACAGCATCTCACCAAACTCCGAGTTCTAGCTTGGAACTATAAAAACGTGCTTGACTTCAGGCATACCACAAAATCTGAGGTCTTGGCAGCTTTAAATTCAAGCCAGGAAATCACATTAACCCCATACATAGTAAAGTCCATAACTTACTTTCTTTAACAGTAACATTTAAGGTTCCAGCTGCTTGTAGGCTGAACATCAGAACAGCAGGAGCAGTGTTGTTAGATATATAACCAATTATATAACCCATACATTAAAATAAGGGTTTCACTCCATTATAGTATAAATCACTGTTGCTACTCCATCCTTTGTTGCGGAAAATTCAGAAGTTGCCTTTATTCCATAGCAGACCTCAGATCTACATGCATCATTTGCACTTTTACTACATGTCATTTGACAGCCTGCTTTGATGATCATAGAGCTACTCACATGCTGAAGAGCACATGTGTGTGCTGAATGCATGACAGAATTCTTGCCAGGGTACAAACTTCTGAGCAACTAGACCCCTCCGCAGAGTGCTTCTAGCATAGCTGCTGACTGATTTGCAGCCAAACTTTTACTTAAAGCACTTGCTTCAGGTGAACTGGTTGTTACTCAACAGGTACATGCTGAGATTTATAAGCCTGTCCATCCCTTCTAGTAAGGTGTTTGCAAGTGCATGCGTAACAGGCAAGTACTGCATTGCACTTACTATAGCTCAGCTTTTCTAAGTTCTCCATACAGTCACGCATGGAAGCTATGGATAATAAAATAAATGAGGGTTCTCCAGAATACATACAGATGAATGTGTGTGGTGTTGGCTTTGATTGTGGTTTTGGGGTTTGTTTTCTTCTTTTGAAGTTGCAACAGTATTGCTATAGAAGGTGATCTTCGGTTCCCCATAAAGCAGAGTTCAAGAGTCATTTGTCAGTGGGTTGTGATATGTTTACCTTACAGCTCTGCACAAGTTGCTGGTGGGCTGCTGTGTTCTTGTTTGAAACAGCTGCATTCTGAGAAGCTGCAATAGTCTGAGTAGCAGCAGCTGCAGCTTGTTTAGCTGCAATCTTTGGAGAAAAAGAAACAGAGTTAAATCAGTGGTAAAGGTCTGAGTAATTCAGAAGATGAAATAGATATCATAGATAACTTTGTTAGTAACAACTTTGACAGATTAATACGTTATACCCTGTGTTTAATTTGATTTGCCTTAAGGAAACTTGGCATTGCTCTTCTCTCAAGATAAAAATGAGCTGAACGCAGTTATGCATCTCTAACTTGCTAATAAAGAAAAAGGTGGAACTAGAAGGATTCTAAGCTCTTACTCTTTCATAGCTTAGGTTGCAATATGACCAAAAGAAGCCAATTACAGAGAGCAGAATTAGCTCCTTGCAAAGAAGGCCAGAGAAAACAGGCAAAGTACACTTGGTGCTTCACACTGCTACATTAACACCTGTGGCCAAAGACACAAGAGAGCCAACTTTTACCGAGATTGCTCTATGGCAAAAGTAAAGATAATAAAATGATGCAGAGGTACAGAATACTGGTATTAATGAGTCTAAAAACGCTGAGAAGACCTTCTTCAAATATCTAGGAGTCTTATTATCAACCTCTTCTTATAACAAAATTCAACAATTTATCCAAGGTATTCCAACATGTTGCCCAATACTTTCCTTTAATTAGCACACTAAATACAATCAAACATGAAGTTCATTCTCATCATTACATGTTTCACTCCTTTGTAAGGCAGTATATGTTATAACACCTAAACAGAAAAAGCCCTTTCCATATAGCTTTCTTGCACACAGTTAGAAAGTTGAGACAGCAGCCTTCATTTCCTAAAATACTCCTGATTTTTGGTTCTAGCCAGATACAATAATTTAAATGCACTTCTGGAACATTGTTACCTACTTAGATCTTGTTTGTCTAACCTCATTGTACTTGAATCAGACTACTGTAAAACCACAGTTGGAAACTAGGAATTACAAAAGCCTTCTTTTTTTAATCTGTCTTTTCTACATTTTAGCTGAGAATGGGAAAAATCAAACCTTGCCTACAAGACAAACTTCAGAGATATTTTATCCTTAGTGTACAGTAAACTGCCTTTCTCCCCCTTGGCTGTGCTACCAGCTATGATGTATCTTTTCACTTTCATTTCTGCTTCTTTTATTCTCTGAGTAAATTACCACTTCAATTGGATATGGTGCAGTTCAACATATCTTTGTATGGAAGTTTACATGAACTCTGGCAGATATACTAGTAAAACCACCAAAAGATATTATGTGCAAATGAGAGATCATACAGAGAAATTAAAACACTAATGAAGTGATTTCAGCTCAGCTGTTCGAAACCTCAGCTGTTCTAATTTTATGACTAAGCCACCATTAAATGCCTTCCAAGTCAAATTCTTACACCAGCTTACTACATCAGTGATAGAAGTTGTTCAGTTTTATGAGGATTACAGTATCACATGCTGGCATCTCTAATTCCAAGCCTTATACTCTGGAACTGATCTTACAGTGCTATCATTCTATGCTTAGCACTCTTCCTGAAATATGCATTTCTACTTGCTCGAAATTATCTACAGGTACAAATTATCAAAACAGAGTAAACTGAAAATTCAATAATATCTATTTTCCAACCTCTAATCTGTTGACAATTTTCTTCTTGATGGCATTCTGTGCAGCAGCATTTGTAGCAACCCGCAGTCCCTCTGCTGCTTCTCTCAGACGCTGCTGTTGATCCTCATTTTCAGGATTGGCTGCAGCTCCCTGCACAAAATTTCAGAGCAAAAAACTTAAGCCTCAATAAAAGTTCCTGGAGAAAATGTAGATCACAGAATTGTTTGGATTGGAAGGGACCTTAAAGATAACCTAGCTCCAACCCTCCTGCCATGGGCAAGGACACCTCCCACTAGACCCAGGTTGCTCAAATCCCCATCCAGCCTGGTCTTGAACACCTCCAGAGATGGGGCATCCACAACCTTTCTGGGAAACCTGTGCCAGTGACTCACCACTCTCACTGTAAAGAGTTTCTTCCTAATATTTAACCTAAATCTACCCTCTTTCAGTTTGAAGCTATTACACCTTGTCCTATTGCTATGCTCCCTGATAAAAGAGTCCCTCCCCAGCTTTCCTGCAGGCCCCTTCAGGTACTGGAAGGCCGCTATAAGGTCTCCCTGGAGCCTTCTCTTCTCCAGGCTGAACAACCGCAACTCTCTCAGCCACTAAATTCTGTCTGGCCTTTAGCTTTCCTACCCTGATCCATGGCTGCTCGGACATTTCCCTGTATTCCTCCCAGGCTACCTGCCCTTACTTCCACCCTCTGTAGGCTTCCTTTTTGTGTTTGTCCAGGAGGTTCCTTGTTCATACATGCAGGCCTGCTGGCGTTTTTGCCTGACTTTCTCTTTGTTGGGAGGCATATCAAGATGAAAATCAAGGCTTTAGTTCCAGACAGTGTCTGCTACATCAGCTTTTATTTTCCTTATATCTTAACCAAAGTTAGAACATTAAAATGTTACAAGCCTTTAGAGCTGAAAATTCATTGCTAGTGCAAGGTTCTTACTGTATATGTTACATACTTTGACGAAAGGAGCTGAACGTTTGCTTCACATACTACTTCAGGTGCTTGGGAAAAAAGCCTTTGTAAACTTCTTCCACTATGATCTACAGTAATGTACTTTGATTATATGACTGTAGGTTTTCGGAAAAAAAAAAAGTTTAAAACTCCTAATTCAATATGCCTTTCAGTAAACTGCTGTCCAAACCTTGAGATTTAACACAGTAGGCTTTTTCCATTTGAAGTCTGAGAAAGTACTGGAAAGTCATGGATATGCTCTGTGGCCAGGCATATGGGCCTCCTAGAGCCCTAGCAGAATGGCTGGCCCTGATCTGCAAAAATCATTTAAGTGCAGGATGTGGGAAAAAATTCAAAGAACATATTCCTCCCTAGTATTTAAATAGGTTTCTAGTACAGAAAGGAAACACAAGGTTAGATATTTGCCTCTCTTGTGAGAACAGGGTAGGGGGGAAACAACACAGGGAAGATTCCCCAGGTGGAGGAAACCGTTCCTAAAACAGAGCCAGAGTTGCTTACTTAACAGTTTTTGTGAGAGACGTTTGTAAGAGATTGCTATGGGTTTGCTGTTCCATTTGTACTGGTACACTGGTACAAAACTTGGCATCACAGTGGTTATGGCTGGCGGTAACTGCCCTAGATGGCTTGAGTCATGACTACCCTTGCACGCAAGTAAGTAAAGCAGTGCAAGAAAGGTTTTAAACCAAAAAAACCACCCAGGTAACTAATAAATTGTTTTTTCTGAACATACCTAGGATAAGTCATTAAATGCAGAGCATCGACAGGATAAGAAAAACCATCCCTACTATCAGCCAGGTCCTATCTATAATAGCCCACATACCATCTCTTCTTTGTGTATAACCATACAGTTCTCAGGTGACAGTTCTTTGTCACCCTGGTACCTTTGCAGCTTCAACCATGCGGGCTGTAGAATCTGCCAGGAGCTTTGCGGCAGCCAGGAGCTTCTTAGAGTTGTCCATGTCGATTTCTGCTTCGGCATCTGACCTCATGGCATTGACGAGATCAGAAGTGGCTTGAGCCAGTACCCTGGCCTGCCGGACCATTTCACCTGTGGTATACAATTACACTTTACTTTCTTTCTCTCTGCATTTCAGTTTCAGAAGTAATCTCAACAAGATGAAAATAAAGTTACATCTGCTGAAGTATTCTTTTGACTTGAAAATTATACAGAAGTAGTTCATAACTTAGAAGTTTCATTAACAAAACCTTGGATCACAACATAAATGAAAGTAACCGGTACAGTGGAGATTACGAAAAAACCATATTTGCATTCTAGATAGCAAGACAAAACCCCCAAATCAATACTTTCAGGTAATTTTGAATATACATTTTGGAGAAACTACTGGGCCAGTAAAGACTAATAGTCTTGCTTTCAAATTACAGCCAAGATTTCATTTCTTTAATAAAAACTACCTATCTTTCACCTATTATTTTGGGAAAGTTCTTTTGGGGAATTATCTTCTGTCTAATATAAACTAAATTAAGAAACCTGTCAGAAAAGACTCAGCACCAACTAGGTGGTCTTGGCCAAACATAAGGTGTATATTTAAGATACTGGAGTCACATTCTGGTCATGGTGAAGCACGAAGATGAAAGAGCAATGCTTCTGAAGTGGATACATACCCTTTCTAGAGCAAATTCATTTCGTCACTAAAACGTACACTTGAACTCCTGCATAACAGACTTGAACACATAAAGCTTTCAGCTTTCTTTAGGTTATCAAATCAAGTACGACATGTTTGGGTCTAAGGCCTCACTCTCTTCAAATGCTCTTAAAAAGTCATGGGAAAGAAAACCAAAGTAGCATTTTTCTAATGGCTCCTTTAGGTCACAGGTGGGCTTCAGAATTAAATGCCTTCTTACCAGGCTCCTTTGGTCAGGCATAGGCAAAAAAAATAAAGTTTTCTAGCTGTTACCAACTATTTCCCAGTATGCAATTTGCAACTAAATTTTTTGCTATAATGGTTAACTCAGCTCCCAGTCCAAATATTCCACTTGAAAAAAATCCCTTTAAACATCCTTTCTTACAGTATTAAGCCAGTAAATCAAACAGAAAGAATAACCTGCTTGGGCAATAATACAGCAGTCACAAGACAGAGCCTCTTTGTTGTTAAAATTGCAACCGCAGGAGTGCAATGCTAATTCGGAAACACTGACTGGAATCTGAACGCCTTCTACTAAAAATTAAGTATTGCGCAACCAGATATTTGACCGTGAATGGCAAATAAACGCTATCCAATATCATCTTTTACTGCACCCTTCTATATAGAAGCTGAATGATAAGTGACAGCAAAAAAATTTGACATGCTTTCTTGTGCACATCTACAGTAATTAAATTCCTTAGAATAGCTACAGAGAATTAGAAAACTTTTTCCGCAGTTTTCAATTGGAAAATTAGGAGTGGTTTAGCAAACATTCCTGTGCATCTCAAAAAATTTAATCACTCGTTTCTCATAAAGAAGATTCTAGGGTCAAAATAGACATAGAATTGCATTAATTACTTCCCTTCCTCTAGAGGATTGCTGCACAGCTGAAATGACAGTTTCTTAAAATAAGAAGCATCCAAGAGTTTTACCTCTTAAACAACACCTAAGATGACTCTACAAGAAAAGATCAGTTTGTTTTTATTAACTGTAACATGAATACAACCCTGACTAAAATATTTACTTTACTGGCCTTGTGTTTATATAACTCGAAAGAAAAGACCAAAACCATACCATTCACCTTTACTGCTTTTAAAAACTGATCCCATTTAAAACTTCCTTTGAATTGTCTTGACTTCAAGTTGATACTGCCTCTTTATGGTGTTCTACCTCATGACACTTATAACTACTGAAATGTCACCGTTCTAAGTAATTTACCGGTTCTTTACTAAAAATTCATGTTGGATCAGTTAAATGTTAGGCATCTCAAGTTTTGGTTGGTTCTAGAAGCTGCCCGTTCAGAAATGTTGTAGGAAAAAGCAGAAGTTTCAAAACCTACAACAAAATCTAAGCATAATAAAATCAATCACTAGCAAGTATTCGCTCAGGTACTTGGCTTCATATTTGGAGGTGAGAAATTGCTACACAATTCTGTGAAGTTAAAGCAGTGGCAAAAACCAGACAAAATACTACAGTGATCCTTTAGCATGATATTGATAGTTTTCACAGAATAGTCATTCTATGTAGCACACGGCTATGTGCATTTTGCTAGTTTAATGTTATGGGTTGAATGACTACCCATCAAAACATCAGTAGCATAGAAGCACAGTAATTTTCAGAGAAGGTTTTTGACTTGCATTATTTGAAATGTGTACATCTCTGAATCATGGAAAGGTATGGTCCATCGGAGAAACTTACCAGCATCTCCCATCGAACTGAAAATACTCTCTGTGACACACATGATGGTATCCGTAGCCTGGTCATAGCGTCCAATGGGCTCTCCCCTGCTCGCAAACTGGCGGACGTGATGCAAGAGGTCATTCAGGGCTTGGCTGACAATGCTGGCAGCTGCACTGACCTGCTTCAGTAACTCAGTGTCATCTGTGGCAGCCTGGCAGGCCCTCACACAGTTCTCTACTGAACGGTCTACCAGTTTCCCTGCCTCAATCAGCTGTTCCTGACACACTGGAGAGCTGATGGTAGGACTCACAACCTGTATGGGGACAGGACACAAAGCATTCAGAAAAGGCTTATTTGCAAGTTTCCTAACTACTAACAAGTGAATTGTCTACTACATTAGTTTTTAATCCTTAACTTATCTGTTTTCCCTAGACAGAAAACCCTGAAAGTGAGTTTTTAAAAAGGTAGCTTCAGACATTTAGAATAGGAATCTGGGCTCTCCATATCATTAACTTAATCTCAACTTAGATTCTGAGAACGGAGGCCCCCATCTTGCTTCATGCTTCTTCAGCAGCTGAACTGAACGAACACTAGACAGTGGTTCTGGGGAGCAGGCATGGGCCAAACTCCTCCAGAGTAAATACACCCACTGACACACTTCTGTACCCTGGAATTCCAAATAAAATGAAATCTTAATTGGAATTGGTCTTGTAAAGTCTTCTTCTTATCAGCCCTTTCTTTCTTTGTTTAAATAAAAGCAGTGCTTGGCACAAGCCAAAGAATGCTCTACTTCTGAAGCCGCAAGACAAGTAATAAACACTATAATCCACCAATTGGGAACAACCCTCCCCCATTTTGTTCAGGCATATCTGGACAGCTTTTAGCAATGGGAGAACTGTGCCTATCTTATGAGAAAACAGGATGCCACTGGGTGTCTTATGCCATGCTGAAAAAATTCGCAGGCAGTAAGAACATCCAAGTAAGTCCAAATAATGAAACTTCATACATATGCATTACAAAAAGCCCTTGCGTCCAGAAAAATAAAGGAGAAAATATTGAAAATTTAATATGTAATACTGGCTCTTAATTTTAGTATAAACTTTCTGGATGTTTCACAACAGTTGAATACCCATCTCCCTGCAAAAGACGACACTGCAGACTTCAAAAGCAGCATCCCAGTAGGAAATGCAAACTCTTATTTTTAAAATCAAATGAGCATTTTATTTATTTGTAAGTCAAAAAAGGTTGCAGAAGATGTAATGCTCCAGTTGCAGACTTCAGAATTTGAGGTCTGATCTCAACTCCTTTGCAATTTGCTTAGACTGAAAATCAGTACTTGGCCAAAAGCAATGGATCTATTAAAACAATTGGGCTACTGTAAATTAGTGCAAATACATTTAAAGTAAATGATCACCAACTCAATCTTATTTCCAGCAAGAACACCAACTTTTAATTATTTAGCTTTAAATGAGGTGAACCCATCCTAATTCTAGGATTGATTAGAAAACTTGCACAGTCCCCCAAGGCAAGCTGTGCTTCTTGAACTAATATTTTTTACTTTTTTATTTTATCAATATTAGAAATTTGTCAGATGGGCTCTGTTATCTGTGGAACCTTCTCTGGAGATTACAGCAACACCTCACATCACCTGGGCTCCTGACTGCCACTGTTATGGGCGAAAATTTATTAACCAACAACTTTGATATTGCATAAATCTAGAGCTATGATATTAAGACAGTGTATCGTCTGAGACCATGGAAAATATACAGAAGCATACACTCAAAACAATGCCTTGCCACCTCACAAACACTGCTAGCCTCACCTTCGCACAAGCCACAAGCTGGGAAGTAGAGAGTGCGCACTGTGTAGCGGCAGCAATGACCCTGTTCTGCAGGACTGTATCCTCAGCAACCTGTGCTACGTTCTTGGCCTTCAGCACTAACATGGCAGCAGCGTTTGCAACAGCTTTGGCCAGACTCATCAGAACATCCTGGTAAAATAAAGAGAAAACTCAGTCTTATGAACAAAAAGTATATGCTTTTTTATATTAAGATCAAGTCTCCCGAAGGTGGGAAGTTTTGTATCGAAACAAACATTTTGTTATGTGTAAAGCAGCAAACATGGCTATTACTCAGAAAATTTGACAGTTTTCTGTTCTCAGTAAAATTGCTTCTCTATTTACATTATCAAGTTACTGGACTGAATGAGTATGGACTGTCAAATTTTGAATTGGCTCAGAGTCCGTAAGAGCAAATCCCTGTCCCAAATTGCAACGTGCTTATCTTCACTTCCTGAGAATATCCTATTAGTACAAAAACATCTGGAGTTCACCACTAAACATATGACAACTTTCTGCAATAAGGATAACATCCTCAAGGAGCAAACTGCTCGGGGACAGACAGTACTTGAGTTAATACCAAATTCAAGTACTTAATTGTGCTTAACAGTAATGACAATTGCCACTCTATTTTTGAAAATGCCATTTGCAACCACAATATATCCTTGTCTCTCACGTAAATGTAACCCTATAAATTACTGCTCTAAAATACAACTCCAAATAGGTCTTAATTCCAGAACATTTGTCCCCTCATACAAAAAAAAGCAGTTAACTTTGAAACTGCAAAATTAAAACACACTCGTGTTAATTCCTGCAATGAAAAAAGTTAAGAAAATGTCTTTGTGTTTCCCCACTTAAAATGCTACATTCCACACAGTTCGGTTTTTTAGGGGGATGGAGTGCTCCTAATGCCTATATTGTTAAAATGACACAGCTTTCCTGTAAAAAGATACTACAGATACACTAATGCATAATTTTAACTTCAACAGCAGAAAGAAAACCTTGGATTTCAAAAATTAAGACACTAGTTTTCATTTTGTTTTTAGAATATGAAGGCATGATAAGCCATCATAAGGCATGATAGCTCCTTACCCACCTTCTCCAACACTCCATAGCACTTATAAGAATGTTTAGGTTCTTTCCCTTACCCAAGTATGAGAGGGCTGCAATACATACTCAACGAGGAACACAAATGCAAACTCTGATGAAACTTGCAGACAGATTTACTAGTGGATCAAGTGTCTAAAATAGCCTGCAAGATATATTAGTGGACATCTTGCATACAGTGTACTCCAGAGGTCTATCTGTAGCTGTAAACGATTTCCTCTTGGTTCTGGTGCAAACCTGCTCTTGGCATTGAATGAAAAAAACTCCAGACACGTTTTTTAGAAAGCACTTAAGAACAACGGTTTTAAACTGCTAATAGCTAACCCTGTTATTAAGTCATACAGGCATTACGATTTGGTAATTGATAACACTAATGATCTTAAAGAAATTACATTTGTAATACAATAATTTTCTTCACTCAGTTTACCAAAAGGTTGTGTAAACTCTTGGCTTATTTGCATACGTACAGACACAGCAAACACTTATGTGAAAACCACTGTATTCAACCAGAAGAAATACTCATTATTTAGAAACATTCATTCATTCTTCAGAAATACATGGCATAATAGGTCATTAGCTTGCAAAGGCAGTGAAACACAAGGAAGGGCAAGGATTGAAGTTGTCTGTGTGCATATCCAAGTTTTAATACACTGCTTCCCACAAAATCCCTATGGCATTCAGAATAATTGATTAAGATTATGCATGTCCCCCTGGAAAACTCAATTATAATCTTGCATCTGACACAATGTACTTAGTGAAGATAGGCAGAGTTTGTAAAAGCAAGTTGTTTGCTGTTCCTGATTTTCTGTGTCTGACTTGGTACTGTGTGATATAACTTGTGCTCCACTGCAACTGAAGCAAATGGGAACTGTGATTCAAACACATCAAGTGTGACTCAATGTCCAGAATTTTAGAGTTCAACAGGACATAGGGTATGTCAAATTAGCAGATCTCTGGTCTTCCATGCCAAATTTTGCACCTATAAAATAGAATGACATCCTACAGGAAAGCTATAAAAGGTATTATCTGTGCAACACTGAGGTACTGGAAGTCACCATAAAAGAAGCCAATGACGAACACCATGGTGAAAGTAAAAAGCAGAGTAGAACTTGAAAAGCAGACGTCTGACCAGCATGCGCCATGTATTTTAAACACTAGAGGGAGTAGAGTGTAAACAGCTCTCCATGAAGCAAGAAAGCATCTGTATGATGCACAGAATGAAGTAAGGGTTTCCTATGAAATCAGCACTCTGTGATTGTGTAATTAAAACCAATTTCATAATGGATTAACCTCAATTAGCATTGAGAAACTTCAAATCTAGCCTTTCCTAACTGCACTTTTGGAATCCTGGTTTTATGCAGTGGCCTCCTCATTAGTAAGCTGCACAGTTCTGACAGTGACAAGCAACCCCCTCGTTACCTGGAACCTTTCATCTGTTTCGTTCTCTCCAATTTGTCTCAGTAGCTCCCCGCTTGCTTGCCCAATGCTTCCAGCAGCAGTCAAAACTGTCTGTCGAGGCTGGAAAAATATAACGGTGAAATACATTAATTCAAAGGAAACAAGCTTTACTTGAATTTTAGATTTCCTCAAGGAACTTCTGCAATCAACATCGCTAAAAAAAAATATTACACAGCAGAAATACTTCAGGAAAATCTGTACTTTTCCACATGCACAACTGCATATCCGTATCTCAGGAGTTTCATCTAATTGCTCCCAGAGAACGTGTAAAGAATTTTGAAGAACTCGAACAGACATTGTTGTAATGACTCCAAGGATAATTAAGAACAGACAGTCAGTATGCCACCTGGTCTGAAACATGAGGAGATTTCACATTCTTCGAAACAAATACCTAAAGAAAAGAGATCTAAGGCAAACTGGCTGCAGACTCCAGCTAATAACAAACTGACCAAGATAGTCTGTACTGGTCAGTACAAATCTCACTTCTGGAAAACTACAACAGAGGGATAAACTTTTCGTTTTACATGTCAAAGTAGACAACGATAGAGAAAAAAAAATAATGACTGAGGATCTCTCCACTTCCAACCGAGTCATAGTACTGTTTGAAATTTGTTTCTAAAAGAGAATACAGTAAACTAACTATTTATTACACAAATCAATTAACCTCTGCACATAACACAGAACATTCTAATATCAAGGTGCAAGACTTCAAGGAATAAAGGTAGAGAGAGACGAAGGAAAAAGAAATAGTCAAGAGAACTGCTTGCACAGTGGACATTATATGGCACTGAGCAGGTGAGGCTTAGAAGCTAACGTCTCAAAAAAGCCAAAGCTGTGCACTTGAAAGAGGGAACCTGAAAAGTTTCCATCTACTCACCTCTCCTGAAGTAGGTTGCACAGCCTTCAGCAAGTCGGAGACAGCACTAGCCAACGTTCGAGCAGCTTTCAGGAGGTCTTCTCCACTTCCAACTTCGTCATCCATGAGAGCAGCAAGCAGTTTCACACCTTTAGACATCTCAGTGAGGTTGGAAGAGATGGTTGTAATTGCACATCCCACAGCAGTGTAATCAGTGTCAACTGGGTCCCCTGTAGAGCAAATGTTTTTTCATGATCAGAATGCTTTAGTGGTTAAAAAGGAAAAGAGGCAGCTACCACAAGCTAGACTTTGGTGAGAGACAAAAGAGACATTTCCAGATAGCCAAGCAATGCCTACTAAGTAATTTCATCATTGTTTTTTAAAAAATTAGACTGCTATATTTTTTCCAGTTTCTACATTTCTTCTTCTACGAGAATATATCTTCTAATAGAATTTCTCTTCATTCAGTGCAACTTGCTGAAAGTCCAGTTTCAGCTATCTTTCAACAATGAAAGAACCCAAGGTAACACAGTATTGACCCCTTTAAGCCACTCACAGCTCCTTCAACTTGTAATCTGCTGAAGAAAAAACCACTGTCAATAAACACAATCTCACTAACAACTGTCAGATCAATAATGCTTTTCTGTAGTAACCTTGCAAACACTCTCTACTTTACTTTGTTGAATAAGCAGGCTACGTTTTATCTTCATCAATGGCCATACCTTTAGCGTTAGTGATAAACTGAAAATAAAAAAATTGTGTTGGGAGGGACAGAAAGCTTATTCCACACGTCAATGCACTTAGCTATTAGAGTATTTTGAAGAAAATTTTTCTCCAGCTACCTAAGTTACTTGAATTAGACCGATAAATAACTTGGAGACTGCAAGGAAATCCTTCCCTTTGAAATTTACCTGCTGTAAGGTTAACAACAGACGCAGTTCCTGCAGTGATAGCATCAACCTGAGAGTGTATTTCATGTTTTGATTCATCAACCTTGTTCTGAACCCATACTCTTGATGCCTGAAGAGCAATAATAAAAACAAGAATTAAGGATTGCAGTGAGGTTCTGTAAGAGGAGATACTATGCAAATCTCTCGAACTTTCATGAACCTTTAAAAGTGAAACAGAGGACAACAACACAGCCCTTATACTGAAATGAAAGCAAGCATTTTCTTTTGCTGAATCATTCAGTACACAATTGCTATCACATTTCAACAGCTGCCCTCAAAATAAACGCAATAAACAGTGCATGCATGAAGGTTAAGCACTTGACTGACAGTCCCCCATAAACAAGTCTTTTGATCGGTCCTCCTGCCTTAACCTGGATCAAGAATGTCAAAATCATATTTTGTTCTTATTTTTCAAGTGTCCAGGAAGCAGTCACTCCCACCACAAGTATCGCTTACAGTTTGCATTTAATCATACATATGCACATGAAACAAATAGGATTCCTGACATGGTTATGCAAGGAAGCCTGCTACATCTAATCTCAGAAGACAGATCAGAGTGAGGCGGAACATTGTACATGAAATTCCTTAGGGAGCACAAAATTTTTATTTCACTTTAAAAGCTTTAGTGATACCACTTTAGATCCAGGGACAATGACTAAACTGATCTGTAAACACCCCAAAGCATCAAGATTCACTTCTGTAAGGGGTTAGAAAAACTCACCATGTCCTGCCCCAGAGGTGGTAGGTTATCAACTTCACTGAGGTCAGCTTGTGCTTGCTGAACAGCATGCATACTGGTATTAATAGTCCCCATCAAGGCCTGCTGAGCCGAGGTCTGAAAGGCAAAGGAAGGAAATGGCTGCATCCTATGTTCCAAATAGCACTTCAAGCAGATGTTACAGATGCATGAAGAGACAGGACTACAACCCAACAATCAGACCAGGCCATTTCAGATAGCTAGCTTTTTCCTGTTACAACAGAGAAAGCAAAGCTCTCTATAACACTCCTCTCAGTACTGTTTCTGCCTATGCCATTTTATACTCCTCTGTACTTGCACGTGTTTGTAAAATGCTGAACTTTCTCAGATGAAATAAAGGCCAACAGACACACAAAAATACCAAGCTGTCTTACTGACTTGCATTCTAGCAACATGAAAACTGAATTTGCTTCTAGGATATCATTATTGATTTCACGGGACAGCCTACCAATGTAATCAAGGACAATTCTAAAACTAATTTGCCATCAATATGCATAAGCTAACAGAAAACCGAAGAGTTTTAGGCAGAGCAGGATGGCTATCTGTGGCAAGGTTTTGGCTGTGTATATCAAAATGTGATACCTTAAATATTTCAGGGGTGCTTAAAAGTTACATTCAGTAGGACAGCTAGGAAGCCACACTCTATATTCTCCTCCTGCTCTTAGTAATATGTGTAACACGATATTTCTGACTACTTGCAACACAGACAGCTTCAAATGCAAAAAAAAAAAAGTTTCAAAAACAAAACAATGCGGCTCCTCACAAGTGGGGGCATATGTCCTCTGTGCATCTGACCAATTGTGACTTGTTGCTGGGGAGAAGGCATGATACCAATGTTGAAAGTCTCTGGACCACTGGACCCTGAACGCATAACAGCTGGTAGTGCCACGGAGCCGTGCTCCACCTTCCCTGTTCGGTTAAACTGCTGCTGCAAGATGGTAGATCTGAAAAACAAACAAAAACACAAAAAAGAAAAAAGAAAAATCCAACACAGAGAGAATTAGTTAGCTCCTGCAAATCAAGTCATGCCAGATGTCCTTCCTTTAGGATTTTAAATTGCATTTCACAACATTTGGAGAAGCTGGAAAACTCTACAGTTGTCTTTTCTAACCATTTTCAAGCATATTAGAAAAAAATCAGTCTGGGGCTGTTGGCTGATAAAATATTGATAGCACCAATAAGCAAACATAAGGCAATGCGCTGTTTTAGTATACGTGGTAGAAAGGCATCACCCCTGTAAGATGCGTGACAGACAGAACCAGAATGAGGTTTAAGGTGTAACAACTGCTTTGTTTCAATTGTATCATAGGCTGATGAACAGAAAACAGGAGCATGAAGCCTGTGGAGATGCCTTTTGCAAACAATCTCTAGATTTGGGATAAAAGCTACCATTCTTTCTTGCCTCTTTACACGCATGCACACACAGTACTTGCTAATAATCTAGCAGCCCATCAGAAAATGGACTAGGAGGCAGGATACTTTCAAGAATAATAAAAGTTACTGTCATCCATGGACACGAACCACTTTGCCAGATATACTGCTCATATTTAAATATAGTTCAAGCTTTAACAGCTACAAGCATTGACAGGAATTTTGGCTTTAACAACAAGAATCTGCTGAAGAAAAAAAGTATATTCAATTGTGAAAAATCTTGTATTCATCTATTACAAGTTTTGGGCTTCTTGCACAGCACTTCGCTAACAGTATATTCTGGAAGTGATTTTGAAAGGGCAATGTCAAAAGAAAGCACATCTGAACACGTGTGAGCCGTCAAATGTTGAAATTTCACATAAGGCCACATTAAATATGTAACGAGTCCATCTCCTATAAACTGTATGTTTAACAAGAAATCAAACAGACTTTTCACATACACACTGCTGACTCCGCCATCCTGAGAGTTCCAAGAGGAGACTTGAGCGGTATATAACAGCTTATAACATCACGAACCTATTTCTATTCTCTCACTGCATGGAAAAACTTAATGTTCCTTTTCAAGAGTATGGCCTGCTCTACAGTTCTGCTTTTTGTTATATTCAGTTACTTTCCTATCAGAACCATAGACTGACCTACTAGTACAAAACCTTACCTTTACTGTCACCACACATCTGATTGGTTGGTTTAAATTGGTTTGGTAAAATAAGCCAGCTCTGTTCATGACACAGTGTAGAATTAAACTGACAGGAGTCAAATTTACTGGAAACCATGGACCTAGCAGACAAAAGCAACTGAAACCTTGTAAATCCTAGGTGTTTGCATGAAGATCAAAAATCTAACATGACATTTTCAGCTCTGCATCATTACTGCCCCCCAGCATTTTACTGAATTACAGCCTGAGTTCTTTTGTTCAACAGTCACATTACCACAAACTGGTACAACCGCTGGTTGCCTTAACCAACAATTTTAACACAAATACCTGCTATTCAATCCTCAAATGAAGCTAGGAGCCTGCTTAATTGCCTGGGAATAGTACTTCCTTCTATTGAAATACCCTGTAGGAAATTATTCTTTAACAGTAATAACTACACTATTTCATTTGAAAAAACTGCCACAGCTAAAAGGTGTCACTTTTAAATAACGAACATTTCCTCCTGTTGTATACACTCACTTCTTAGGTGAAACAGATTCTTCCAACATGGTTGACTCCTCATCACCTTCAAGCCCAAATCTATCTTTACTTTGCTTCTGGAGGGGAAAGGGGAAAAAGAAAAAAAAAAAGTTAAACAACATGTGTCACTTTTTGCTTTCTCTCCACTATTTCCTCACGATTTATCAAAAACCTAGTCAAATCATTTGCAGAGTCTTGTCTAATGCCAAACAGCATGCTTTTTGGTAGTGTGTGAAAATACAACCTCCACCTCAGAAGAGGTGCCCTTCAGCATCTAACAAATGAGGTTCTAAGCCCTGGCAGATTAAGTGCACAAAGGAAAAAAGCCTACTGGTGCCTTTTTGAACAAAGTGGTATAAAGAAAGTGCTGAGATACTGTCTTTTCTCACAGGAGAAAAAAAAAATGTTCTAAGGACCGAGTGATATGGAACAACAGCAAATCCCAGCACACACAAGACATATACCATCCCCTTTCCCATCCTCTTCTAACTCAGGAACAGAGTTGTGGTCAACTTCTCCACATCCAAGTGATGAGTGATGTTCCTCAGAAGTCAGCTGGGACTGGTGCTGTTTCACATCTTTGTCAGTGACATGGATGTTGGGATTGAGTGCACCCTCAGCAAGTTTCCCAACAACACCAAGCTATGTGGTGGCAGTCAGCATGCTGGAGGGGAGGGATGCCATCCAGAGGAACTGGGACAGGCTGGAGAGGTGGGCCCGTGCAAACCTCATGAAGTTCAACAAGGCCAGCTACAAGGTCCTGCACCTGGGTCACAGCAATCCAACGCACAAATACAGACTGGGTGGAGAATGGATTAAGAGCAGCCCTGAGGAGAAGGACTTGGGGGTACTGGTGGATGAGAAGCTCAATGTGAGCTGACAATGTGCGCTTGCAGCCCAGAAGGCCAACCATATCCTGGACTTCATCAAAAGCAGCATGGCCAGCAGGGCGAGGGAGGAGATTCTCCCCCTCTACTCCACTCTTGTGAGACCCCACCTGGAGTACCGCATCCAGCTCTGGAGCCCTCGGTACAGGAAAGACATGGACCTGTCAGAGCGAGTCCAGAGGAGAGCCACCAAGATGATCAGAGGGCTGGAGCACCTCTGCTATGAAGAAAGGCTGACAGAGTTGTGGTGGTTCAGCCTGGAGAAAAGAAGGCTCTGAGGAGACCTTATAGCCCCTTCCAGTAACTAAAGGGGCCTACAGGAAAGGTGGGGAGGGACTCTTTTTCAGGGACTGTAGTGATAGGACAATGGGGAACAGTTTTAAACTGAAAGAGGGTAGATTTAGATTAGATATTAGGAAGAAATTCTTTACTCTGAGGGTGGTGAGTCACTGGAACAGGTTAACCCAGAGAGGTTGTGGATGCTTCATCCTGAAAGTGTTCAAGGTCAGGTTGGATGGTGCTTTGAGCAACCTGGTCTAGTGGAAGGGGTTGGAACTGGATGATCTTTAAGGTCCCTTCCAACCCAAACCATTCTATGATCTACATTTTCGCCAGGAACTTTTATTGAGGCTCATGTTTTTTGCTCTGAAACTAGAGCTCAGATACAAGTCACATTTAGCATCCTGAAGTGTTACTGTACTGTGCTACCTACCACTACGAAATACATGTCCATAGGAAAGACAATGAATTGAATACTGTATGCAAGCTATTTTACCACAGTTACTTCAAACTTCTCGACAGTATTCACATCTGACTTTTTGAGGCAGTTTTTTATAGTTATATAAGGGAGGTAAATACAGGGGAATAAGGAAACCACTAGAAACAACAGGAAACTACCATACGTCATAAAAGTATTGCCTTGTAAAAACAGTCAATTTCTACTTGTGACCAAATGCAAAGATACTGTCTGCTTTCCACCTTGTTGATTTGTAGTCTGAAAAGACATATATATATAAAAATAGAGAAACACCCACTATGACCGTGGGTACATTTAATGGGAAGTCCTCATGCACATCAATATCCCCCTCCCCCTCTCTTCAAAGAAGTTCTTACTACTACAGTTTGAGTTAATGTATGAACTGAAACTGCTTATGTTTAGCCAAGATCGTGCCTTACTTCCATATTAATGTGAAGTAAAATAAGGTATCTAAATTAAAAAAAAATGTACAAGTTGCTCTAGCTTAGGGTTCCCTGTCAACCTACCACTAAAATTGCAAGACAAGAGGTGTTGGGGGGTGGGGAATGTTCCACCAATAATACTTCAGCAGAAAAAAATCCCCCACCAATCCACATCAGAGCAAATAAGTAGGAACAGTCCAAAAAAGAGCAAGAATTAACATTATGCAACTGAGAGTGATAAACCACACTTTGAGACATGCACCACAGAGATAACTTGGGCTCGACAATTGAAAACTGCATGCTTCTCATATGCATCATGAAGCATAATGGGTGTTCATTCCTTAACCTGTTCCTAATTCATTCATTTTCAAACTGGCTGTGTCAACAGATTGTAAAGAAGAAATCAAAGGGAGTGGAAATACGCACATCTGTATTCTATCAAGACAAAGGCTGCTTTAGTTTGGCATTAGAGAGCAAAGCTACTTTTGAAGATTAAGAGTTTTAAGTTTTAAACCATCAACAGAAACCTCCAGTTTACTTAAGATTTATTAAACCTGAGACTGACAGCCTCAGAGAAAAAGGCATGTGTTGTGATGAATTCTGGCAATACTCCTCAACCTCTGACTTCATAACATTTGATGTTACATCCGACAATGTTCTCATGAACAGAGGCAGTTAATTCTCCTGAGCTGCTTAGCTTTCTGTCATTTTTTTTTTTACTATTAAAATCTATTAAAGCAAATAATGATGTAGTTTGGTTGAGCCTCAATAAAGAAAAAATTTGACAAGGAGCAATCGATGCTATTTGAAACACCTCACTTTCCTATACAACATGCTTAGAGTATGACCATTCAGCTCCATGTTTGTTAGCAAAACTGGTTTTTACTATTGCGTTTATTTACTTGTGAATATTTTGAATGCTGGAGATAGGTATCAGCCTCTCTTCTCTCCTACCAGGCATGCTCAATAAAACCAAGTTTCAAGATGGTCCAGCCTCTTCACACACACAGATTTTATCCCTCTCTCTGCATAACTCACATGTAATTCTTCGCTTTACTGATCACAATATTTTTAAAGCAATATAATGCTTTTTGGAGGTTTGGTTTTGTGTTTTTTGGGGGGTTTTGTTTTAGTTGTTTTTTTTTTTTAAGCTTTGCCAAAAACTTTCCCCGTTTTGATGCATTACATTCAAGAGCTACTGGACAGCTACTGTGGCAGTCCTTAATGTAGTTTTAAATGCTGCTCCCATGGGATCATTTCTTCCAACCTGATCCACCACTTTGGTTCATAGCTTAAAATCCATAGTTGAAGCTTTAAGCTCTTCTCTGGACACACTCATCGCCAGCAGTTCACCTTCCAGACAGAAAAAAACAAAGCCCAAGCGTGGTGTACTCAGCCTGACCCATACTACCCCTATAGTTAACAGCCTTGATATTTTACAGAAGCACTCACTTAAGTCAAAAAGAAAGAGCTTATATTACTTAAAGGTAAAAATAAATAACATCAAAACATAAGATACAACACTGACTTCATGAGAGAAAGAAAACTGCAACTTCAAGACATTTGAGCTTTTGCCCTGCTCTACAGTGATTTTCACTGTTTTTACTACATATCATCTTAATACTATACCTTCTTTAGGATGATATCAATGTAACCTGCAATTAATTGAGAGATCTGTTCTCCTTCAGTGGTCTGTACTGAGTAATAGCTTTCCTGATATTCACCAAAATCCTGAAAGAAAAGGGAAAAAAAAAAAAACCTTTGAAAATAGAAAGTAACAAGTGAAGAAAAAGTAGCAAATATGAGTGAGAGAATTCAAATTTTAAAATTGTTTGCATAGACATTTTATTGTATGCAACAGTAGATGAAACTGCTCCAAGATTCTAAACCAGTCTGTCCATAAGGGGTGAGGGAGGAGACGGGAAGGATGCTTCCTATTGCAGCTTAGTAACAGATGTTTCACAAATGGAAATGCCAGAGGACCAAGAGATACTTAGCCCGACTTTATCAGACTCAGTCACTGAAGGATGGAGAAAAGTCTTTAGAATTTTATTCTAAAGCATAATCACCCATGCAATTGGAAGTTACTTCCATGTGGTTAGTGAATGTCATTTTCTAGCCACTGCCTCTCGCTCTTTAAACAACCTTTTCATACCCAAAATACTCTTGTTGTAGTGGTCTCTTATGGACCAAAGCATTAAAAAACCATCACATTTATGCAAGTTCTTGAAATCCATAGTTATCAAATGTATTAATGAACCATCTAGCTTTGGTTACATTCATATCTTGCAAGTCAAAGTGCATTTTGAATGGCAAGCACCGTAAGAGTTTAAGCAGGTGTGAATAATGATGTTTTCTTAACTGTTTTAGTGGTTACGCACAGAATATATTTAAATAGTGGTTTTTTTCAAAAGAATTTAACAGCGCTTTTGGGGAACCGGTCTGTCTAGAAACATCAAAATACAGATTGACCCTAGACACCAATATGGGCCAGTTTATTAGTTTAGGATTCAGTGACTCTATATAATGCTAGAAAATTACAGACAGAACAAGTTACATTGAAGAAACTTTTCCAAGTCCATTGCTCCTTGCCACATAGATCCCTCTTCTTCTGAATATATGCAAAAAGATTACCAGAGTGAAACTTTTAGGTGAGGCAGCCCAGCGTTTTACAGTTGTCAGTGGCCATTCCTGCAACACTTCCTTGGTCTTCTCATCCACACGCATCACTGAATCTTTGGTTACACCCAGCAAACGAGGAACCAGCTTGTTTTTGCCTTTCATTTTTTCCTACAAAGTGTGAAAGGTTGTTTTTCATTCAAATGGAGCTACATTGTGTTAACAAATCCCCACTGAATTAGCAGCTTGTTCTAAACGTCCATGCTTGTTAGTCTTAATATTTTAGTTACTCAAAACTGTACACCATAACTTCAGTATAATTTCTAATACACAACTTAGCTCAACAGCTCTGTTAGACTCCTTTCACCTGTAATGGTGCCTAAGAGGACATTTTCCCTTAAAGGATGCAAGGCAACACAAATCTTTCAAAGTATTAATAGTATTACCCTCTGCACTGCTTCACTAGAATTTGTGCATGACATGCAGTACTTTAGGAAAAGGCAATCTATCAATATCCAGCTACCAACAAAGATTCTGTGGTGTAACTGTGGGAACCTAGGAGTGAAAACATTTGCCTAAGTGTAGCCTCCTTTCCATTCTATGTCAGTGATTACTGAATACTCATGCACTAATACTTCAGTCCCGTTTTCACAGCAGAACATCAGTATCTTGGTACCAAATCGTTTCAACAGCCTTAAGACCATGACCTGTTTGACTGTAAGGACTAAGAGAAATTAAGCATGCAGCCAATGAACTTGCTCTTCAGATGCAACTTCTTTTTTCAGCATGCAACTCACATTATCATTAAACTTCTAAACAGGAACAATTTAAGAGTTCTTTGTGAATGTTTTTCTGAAGACAGTACTTCATTGGTAATCAGAAGAAAAAAAGAAGAAACGCCAATTTGAAGAAATTAAATCATGACAGACTCAACTTTCTGGAAGCAGTATGACAAGGATGTAAGTGGAAATTATAATTCTGTCCCACATAGTAATTTAAACTTTCTTCCAAATGCTGCTTTCAGAAAGAAGGCTGAAAGAACACCTTTGATCTTCACTTAGTGCAGAATCTGAGGTAATACATAACCAACCATTGAGTAAGGTCAGCAAGATCTACATTACCTTAACAAGAAAAAATGACACTCCATAGGTCCGCAGGGAACGGGCTAGCTTCACATACTTCACTTTGGCTTCTATTTCAGTCATCTCACCACAGTTTTTGTGCTCCTGTAATGACAGTTCAGTATCACTTAGGCAGAAACTAGGCTTTCTGGAAACACACACACACAAAAGGTATAGCTTTTATCTGTTTAAGGATACTTAGTTAATAATCATTACAACTAGAATATTTGAAAAAATACTGGCTAGAAATGTTAGCAAGACTGTATCCCATAATTCCTCACATCAGAGAACAAAAACAACCTGTGCAAATGGAACACTCCTCTTTCACCATCATCCATTCTATCTGTGCCTCAGATCAAGCACATTTAAATCACTTCTGAAACAGTTTAAAATTCGAGGTATTGGTGCTATTTGGCACCATGAGGTTTCACACAATTAATGCCTCTTTTCTCAGCTTTTTAAAATCATTTAAAAGTCCCATCACCCATATGTTTTTTCCAGCAAAAGCATATTTATTCCTGCTTTGTGCCCCAAACTTCTGATTCATGAAAGCCTCATGCCTTGTAATTGACCCTTTCTCATCTCTTGTAGGTATTTCCGAAGGGCTTTTTTTGCCAATTGCACTGTTATCCACAATTTTTCTCCCATCACGTGAAAAGAATTCTAAAGGTGAAGAAGCAACAATCATTTTTCTAAATAGTTCATCCTGGAATATCATCTAGGTGTATCTTGTAGCTCAATTTCTATTTATTATTTAAACAATTTACTCATTACTAAACTCTATTACCTGTAAGTAATGACAACTACTAATATTACCTATTCAAACTTCATCTCAGCATCTGCTCTCTTACACCAGACCGTTTTGCTGAAAATCCTATCCCAATGTCCTGCTCTTTAAATACTGTTTGTGGGATTCCGTATCGCACCGCATCTTCCCCTCACATTCTTCTGAACTGCTGGTTGCCACCTCTTTCATGCTGACTAACGGCAGCAGGGGGAGCACCAAGAACGTGGGAAACACTTTCCTACTCCAGTTTAAGTTACCATCTTGACAATGTTCCACGGAGGAGCACTGGGAGGAGCAACTGCAACTCCAAAACCCCTTCTGCATCCCAAGGACACAGACCAATCATATCTGTCAAGTTCAGCACAGAGAACCAGATCCCAATAGAGCAAGGAGCCCAAATGTAGTCACTGCAGGTGGACTATTTGGCAAAGATCACCTGCCAAACTCAAGAATTTTGAGAACTCAGGAAAATGGCTGATTTTTTTCAAAAAGACAGCTTGCTTATTCTACCTTGCTGTTGTATCTTTGCCCAGCATCAGTGCCCTCACTGATGAACTTCTTGTCCATGCACTGAAGTATGTAATGACCGAAACTACTCACAGATCATATCTGACATGAGCAAAAATCACACACTATGAAGAGCATGATAGTGATACTCAGAAGTGAATGAATCTTCTTTTGCTTGAACTGCAACATCACTGCCACCAGCTAAAGGCATACAGAAAAGCGTTAGACATCCTCGTCTATGAGAAAGTACTACAAGCTCCAGGTGGAACAGACGTACCGAGTTACAGAATTCCTAGACTGGGAGTGTAACAGACATAGGAAAGCATGCAATCTGTTCATGCTCTTCAACTTGTCTCCCAAGTGGAGATCACAGATCACTGGTATGTCCTTCCAGAAACTATCTGACTTTATTTCAGCTGTTGACCTCAGAATTTTTCAATTTATATTGTCTTGCCAAACTTACATTTCTGTAGGCACAGATATTTAGTGCATCCACAGCACTCAAACTCTGAGAGCACTTCCAACCATATAAGTAAATTTTTACTCAACTGCTTGAGTCTTTTAGAACTGTGTGATTCCCAGACACATCACTGAACTCAAGCATTAGCCAGCACAACTCTGTATTACTTGAAGCTCAAGCTTGAATAATAAAGGCATGAAATTAAAACTAGTTTTCCTATATGTGCTTCTATTTTAGTACAAATACACATCCTAACATTTCAATGGAACTGAGAAAAAAGTCTCAAGAATACGGAGCATTCACTCTCGGCCCTTCAAAGTACAGTGAATAATCATCAGTGAAGAAAAAAGGATCAGGACAATAAATCTGCTGAATAAAGAAAACAGAATCTGTCAGTTTCTTTACACTTGATTTTCTGATAGTTATCGAATTCATTATATACAGAGTATACACCTGTGAAAGCTTGTATTTATCTTATAAAGAAAGTGAAACTATAGTAGGTTTTTCAGCCTCCCAATTACCTGAAATATTCTCTTTTCAGCCCCTCTTTGTTTGGTATATTCTTTAGGCAGGAATTCTTTTAGGCTAGAAAAAAACACAACAACAAACAACAATTTCATAGTTAATGGTGCCCTCTTGACGAGGGATGCTTTTCATGCTCCTTTATTGGCATTAAGTCCCCCAAGCTTCCCAAAATGGGCATAAAATACCTATACAATGAAGCAAAACTCTGGCTGAGTAGGATGAGAGCAAGAGGGTAACTTGTGTAAGAAAAACACTTTAGTTACATCCCCATGTACCTCTTCATGTTTTGAAAAGTCATCAAAAGTAAATAATAGCTGGGACACTTTCCACTCTTAAACTATATGGTGTGTCTCATCAAAGGGGTTCACATCTAAATCCAAATATAGTCATTTTAATCTGGGGGAAGAAGGGGACATCAAAGCTTGAGCCAGCTCTGTGTCTGAGTTCAGACACTGCTATTACTTTGATTTACTGACATGCAGGACCAAGTTATTCCTTTGTGTCTTCCAAGAAATGTTAGAACACTAATATTTTACTGAAAAACTGCAAAGCCATTTAAGTGGACACTTAATACCAGTCACTACCTCAAAAACAACGTTATAAATAACCACTCCTAATTTCTGTAGCACTCAGATACTAAGGGTCTCAGAATACAAAGTAAACTAAGCAAGTTCAGCCTCCATGAAGGATTTTAGTCAGAAAGAATCTTTAAACACCACACCTGTACCTCCCTGCTGTATAATAAAATAAACCCTTTATCTCAGCCAAGCATCACCCCAACTTGAAGACAGATCAACATCACGCTTTAACATACATCAGTTCTTTTCCGGATTGCACCTTCCCATCTGGAACGCTCTACTCTGATAAAACCATGTCATATATTTAGCAATCCATTTTCAGCCTGAAGAAACTTCTACAGTTCAAAAAAAACTGGTATCTAAGGACACCTCCCGCCCCCCAGCTCTGAGCCATTAAAAAAATCACAGGAAAAGTATGACTGGAGAATCTCCTCCTCATTTTGATTATTCTGTAAGCAAGCACACTATGAACACAGAAAGCTAGAAATACCTAATATCATGGAAAATTACAAGTTTTGAGAAGGATGGATTTATGGATTTTTTTAAACAAGATTGGCAAAAAATTTACTCGACTGTTCAGTGAGGTTTTTTGGTTTTGGGGGCAATGAGGGGGTTTGATTTTTTTTGTTTGTTTTTTTTTTTGTAGTTTGCTTTTATTTTTAAACACAAAAGCCTGCCACTGCAGACAAACAAAATATAAGACTAAATCGGGATTCTGCGCTTTCCTCAAAAATACTATTCAGTAATGAGATAATTCATTCTGTTCTTTCCATAAAGCTCTAGCAATATAAATCAAAGTAAGAACAACTGTCCCTGTTAATCTTTCTTCCAATGCTCCAGTAGTTACATCTCACTAATCATGAAATCTCTTCTCAGGAATTATTTCCAGCGACACATCACTGGGTGGGGAAGACTGGAGAGCCTAATTAATTTAGAAGATAAGGACTGAATATGGCTTATTATCCTAAAAAGCTGGTGCCTTCACTGTGAAACAATGCGTGCTTTTATACAGAATTTCATAGGTTCAAACCACTTTGGTTAAATTCACTTCCAAAGCAAATGCAAAAAAAACCAAACCAAACCAATAAAAAAACCCCTGAGTTAAACCCAGTTTAATTCTGGAAATGGATTTATATAGAAAGATTATAGTTATTAATGCTCTTCCAATTCTCATCTTTTATTAACTAGAGTTAATTTTCTTAGCTGTCCACATGTAGATAAACTATCAAGACCATTGCATTTTTAATCATGTCTACTTATTTTGTTAACTAATATGCAATTTATGAAGACATTGCTAAGCAAACATTATTTGGAGTTTAAGCAGCAAGAGTTAAGAAAACAACTTTGCGCTTTGTCCACTAAGCACCTTGGTATACTCTTGCACATGTAGATTGAACGCTTTTTCCTTGTATCACCTTCCGTTATTTTTCAATCAATAGACAAGTAATCACCTTAACTGAAAGGATGAAATGGTAGTGTAAACAGGCTGAAGTTATTTTAATGCTACCTATAATCAAGATATTTTCTTTATGATGCAACAAACAACAATTTCACTTTATTTCGCAGCTTGTTTAACGGAGTTAGCAAAAACACCTGGAATATATCAGTTAGCCACCTTTCATCTCTTTAATTACACATTATTACAATCCACAATTAATTCCGTTAAAAAAAAAAAATCTAACAGCAATCTAACAGCGTTTATTTAACTTCATTTACTGTGAGTTTGTTCCTACAGCTCTTAAAAAAAAATTATACGAGTGCCAACATATTGATTAGCATAAAGGCATATCTAGTGCTCTTGAAAAAAAACCCAGTTTAACACAGTAAAACTGGTTAGATTAAAGAATTTATCTTATTGGTCACCAAGCATGCTCGGCAATGAAAAACAGGTGGGTAGTTTTAGCTGCTCCTTTCCTACCTTCATATGAAGAGTATGGGTTCTTTATTAGCTATTCTCTCAACAAATTTAAACACAGTGTACCTCTGTAGGTGCTATGCAAAACTTCAGCTGTATGAGGAAGGGCATGAAGAGGGACTACTTGCAATTTGATAGTTTAAGAGCTTTCACAATTTACTTTGGCATGAGCTTCAAGGAAATTCCAACAACCGACAACAAAGTGTTAACAACATGCAGGCAATAATCTTCATCTGTGCCAAAAATCAATTATCAGTAACAAAAAAGATACAAAGTATCTCTGTATATAAACATATTGCAGACTTGGCAAACTGAAATAGCTGTTTGAAAATAATGCTATGAAATACTAATAGTATTCTGTTACATGATGTTTTTGTATGAGCTGACAGATTCTCTTTAAGCAAATGTGTAGCACGGTCAGGTTTCAGTAGTGAGTGAATAGACACCTCTCAAATGTATCTCCCATGTTGAGCTCCACCATACAGTTTACACAAACCAGAACTACTTTCATCCTTGAAAAGAATCAATGTTCATCCACCAAAGAGTGGGAAATAGTTGGATGAAACTTTAAAAAAGCTCAATCTTTTTCAAGAAAAATAAAACCCTAGGAAGTTTTTCCTGAAAGGACAAGAGAGGCATCTTCAGAAAAAAATAATAAATAAATAAATAAATAAAAATCAGCATTTATCTACACTATCTGTGTATATTATTCATAAGGAGTCAGAAGTGCTTGGCCTCTTTAGACTCACAAAGCAAAAGCACGAGGTTTCACACAAAGCTTGTTATGAAGGGTACGTTCAGCCAAACGCATACAAAACTAAACCATAAATGTGTATACTTGAAAGTAGAAGGCAATGACTAGGGACTTACGGTTCTGGAGCAGGGTCCTTTACAGAGAGCAAGAACAGAATTACTTCTAAATCAGAAATCCTTAATTTTATGAAACTCATTATACACCAGGACAGTGAGCGATTACACCTAGTCACCTGCAAGGCTTGATCCTAATACAGTCAAAGCCCAATTAAATGAAAATAAAACAACAGTAGAAAAAATTCCCTGCAGAAAATAACAAGGTTCTAAATTTTGGAATTCTGGTTCTAAATTATTTCCACTGGAGTAATGTTGTCTTTCTAACATACGGTTCGTTATTTACACCTTTCATTTCTACTAGGATTAAAAAAAAAAAAAAAAAAAAAAAAGATAATGCACTTAGTATGCATGATGACTTTACTCTGTGATGGACTTCAAGCTATCTAGCATTGCATACAAAGTAGAGATATGATCCAGCCAGCAGTTTCAGTCTACCATAAAACACAGTTACTATATGGGAGCTCAAAAAGAAAAAAAATAAAATATCTTTACACTGTAAAGACCAAGTAGAACACCTAAAAAACTTACAAAAATTTAAGCAACTGAACTCTACACAGCAGTTTGCAAAAACTGCTAGTTAAATTTTGGGGGAATTATTGCTTTAAAAATTAAAACCAACTGTTGCTGGGAACACTTAACTCTTGAAATAATTACCATGACACAACTTTAGCTTGTCATGAGGTAATACCCTAATGGTTTTCTGTAGGAATACTCGAGTGAGTGAACGGAGAAGGGAAGAATAAATAGACAATGGACAAATCCCAGAATATGACTGTTGTGTTACTGGTCACAATTCCAGGGAATAAGAACCAGGACTACAGCAAAGCTATTACACCGGATCCCCATAATTCTTAGAGACATCAGTAGCTCTATTAGGAAAGTTTCATGGGCCAATCAGTAGCAGCCACACAGTACAAAGAAAAGCTGATTATTAACTGGAACTGAAGGATGTTTGTTCACATGGTTTGTTTGCACAACTGAACTGCTACTTCAGGAAAATCTTTAAGAAGTGAAGTGTTTCAAACAACCAGTGTTGCAGCATTGCATGTTCCAAAGCAAGCCACCAGTTAAAAGTGATTCCCTGAGATACAGTAAACCCCAGTGTCAGACTCACAAAGGAAATATAAGAGTCAGCACTGAGCACTTGGCCAGTGGAACAGGAGAGAAATCAAATATGCACCCATTGTTTTGCACATCCCATTAAGGTATCTATGAGCCTCATATGTAGGGCAAAGCTTGATGGACTGTAAATAGCTTTCTTTTACCTTCCTACATTCCTTTCCTCAGACTCTGGCCCTCAGTTAATTCTACTGCAGGCAAACCAATCAGAAAATCAAAATTGGTAGAAAAATAGGACATCTAAATTTCAGTCAAACTAAACTTGCCCTGCTGACAGCAGTAAAGTATCACAATAAAGGCTAAAGGATGTGTCACTTGTAATCAGGAATCCTGTCCACATCTGAAACAAAGAGCACGATTCTAGATCTCCATTCATACAACGCCATGAGGGTGAATCTCAACAACTGATGAATGCCACTAAAACGTTTGAAAAATTTAACCCCTACACACAGCAATATTAACTTCATTCAATCAAAAAGCATCTTTCCATTCATGTACTTTCCTAGCAATTTAAACATCTGTGATATATACTGATGTATGCTTAATTCACACATTCACACTAAATACAGGCAGAAGTAGATTTTCAAGGAAAACAAAATCCCAGTTCTCCCACATTACCAGGTGTTTGGGGAATCCAGCTGCATACTTAAGTGGCAACCTGGGGGGAGCTGGTGCCCTGTGCTGCTTAATAAGCCACTACCAAAGCTCCCCTTATCAGTTGGGGTTGCCCATTTGGGCAGTAAGGCTCCTTTCACAGGGAGATTGCGACAGAAAACATTCAACCTGATCACCTCTGCTTAAAGAACTACAATGCATTTAGTCTGTGACAGCTCAACACTAGTTGCACTTGAGGTCACCCAAATATAGAAGTTAGAAATGTTTACTCTAAAAATCCAGGTTTGTGTTTGTGTTCTACATGAGGTCCAAACTGGATCTGTGCTTGAAAGCCTCCAAACTCGCAGGCCTTCTCAAAGGAGACAGGATGGGAACCATTCAGAATGTCATCACGAGCCTATAGGAGGTAAGCAAAGACATGTCAGGGACATCCAAAATAACTATTACATCTGTGAAATTCCTTGAAGGCTTGAACACAGCCCAGGAATCCAGCAACACACTTTTCTGTCTGAATATCTTTTATTTTTCCATTCTGGATGTGCTTATGACTAATAGACTAAACAAAGGGCTAGATTATTTTCTGGTGAATATCTATAGAGACTTATTGAAACAATGATTGTAGCAACTTTCATAAAAAAGGAGACTTGACACCCCATTTCCTGCCGTATGTGTGTATAAAATACAACATATGTATATACACTCATGTTTAAGTACACATATATATACAGATCTATATGCGTGTGTACATACACACATGTAAAAGCTTTTATCTCACTTCCTTGTAATAGCAGGGAAAATAATCTGTATAACTAGTAAGTAAAAACCACATTACAATTATAGAAATGGCAACAGGAGAAGGTAAACAAAATTTTCCTTCCTTTTGTTTAAATTTAGTGGCCATAGAAGACGATGGAGCTTATAGCTCTGGCAATAGAAGGCTCATCTATCCATAGACAAAACAGTGACAGGGCAGTAACAACACATACTGTCATAACTAGCCTGAAAGAAATATCTAAGTGACAGGAGAACAGCTCAGTGTGATACAGTCTTCTAAAATACTTGAAAAATGTAATGCAGTCTTACAAGCAATGTCATCTTTATCTTTTCCCTCAAAATTTTAAAAATGTAATTTAGAGCGATCCCATTTGAACAAGCTGCAAGTGTGACAACTGAACATTCCATTCAACTTTCAATTTTTTTTAATTTTTTTTTTCTTTTTAAAAGTAACTTTAACAAAGAGTTTAAAATCGTGCTTTTTTTTTTTTCAGACTCCATTACAGACAATTTCTCTGGAGCCTTCAGTTAAATAGTATCTTCTGCATAAAACTCAGCTTTGTTAAGGTATGTATAGTAGCTCTAACAGTTTGGGGAACCTGCCTAGGTGGACTCCCACCATGTTACATGATATTATCCATTTTGAACAGAAAGTCTGTGTGCCTTGTGCACTCTCTGGGTTGAAGACTGGAAAAGGAGTGTAGAAGCAGCTCTCTCACTGATCAGGTGGAAGAGAAAAGCAATGAGAAGCTGAAAACTAGTTGAAAGACTGAGCTGAGACTCTCTATTACAGAGGAAGCATCACCTATAGAAAAGAATGGGGACAAGAACTAAAAAGAACAACTTAAAAGACTAAAGACATTAATGAATTTTAAGGAAACCAGGACAAGGACATGAAAGTCAATGGAGTTTTGGTTGAATGTCCATTATTGGGTTGAAAGTATTTGATTAAGGAGAATCAGCAAAGCCTCTGTACTATCACTTGTTCTTGGAGGGACAGACAAAAAAGTAAAATCAAAGCACATCCAGAACTGGAGTTCTAGAAGATGGAGTATTTCGGCAACAAAATTTTTCTTCTTAACCTACACAGGTTTCCTCAGACAAGGTAGAACCCGTCCCTCTGGACAACATACCATACCTGAACATAAAGCAAATTAAGCTGAACAGGATCTCTTGAATCGACGTTCTGGTCCGAATAGAAGAACTTCCGTCTCAACAGTAGCGTTTCATTTTCATCAACTCCTTGTTCTCTAAACGTTCGGCTGTGATCTAGCCAATTTACTGTAACAGAACCACAAACAGGCACATTGTTAAATACCCAGTGTTGCCAGTGTTAATAGCTGTTGTGAAAATCATGTGACAATTGGCATTTCCACTGGAGGAGAAAATTCCACAAAAAAATGTTGCTTTCATTTCTGTTTCTAGTCGTCAGTGTTGACGGTTGCTACAAATGAGAACTGAAGAACAGCACTGCTGAGAAACAAGAATTTACCACAGCATAAAACACCATTAATATTGTTGAAGAAACAACTATAGTGAAGTTTTAATACTAAATTTAGATTTTCAAACCTTCATTGCAAAATTACTTGAAAGTTTACCACATTTTCCCCTCAAAACCAATTGTTCTGTTTAGTTTTCTTATCCCTGAATGCAATTTTAAAACATCTTCCTCCCAGTCACAGCTAATTTTGGAAAAAATGGTTCTCATGACTCTACATATAAAACAAATCAAATACTGCCCTAGTTATTTGGCAAACTCCATTTACATTTAAAATTTATACCTTCAAAGACAAAACTACCTTTTGATGGCTTTCAGTAGGCATCAATGTTTAAATATCCAACTTTAATGAAGGGGAGAAAACGGTCATTATGGAAATGACCCTTTACACTTAAGTTACAACTCCTCTACCAAAAAAACCCCAAAAAACACTTCAAAAGATCTGCTGACTCTCATAGATAGGCGCAACAACATGTCCATTTACCTAATTTTTCAAGTACTCAGTAGCAGACAACATTATATATAAACAGATGCAAAATAAAGGTAGGGATCAACCGAGATGCACTGAAGAATCTAAAAATGCATTCCTCTATGGTTTTCTTGCACTGTACTGTGAAAAGCTATTAATCAAAGAATTATCCTGGAATACACTACTAACAATCATCATCTGTATGAAGTTTTGCCTTCAGCTTTTCCATTTTTCTTTCATCACGCAGCAATGTCCTATCTTTCTTAAGTGTTCCTGTACTCTCCTCTTTCTTCTCCTCGATGCTCTCCTGGATTAAGGAATATTCCTCATAATTCGTTATTCCTGGAATTACAAATAAATCCAGTGTTTGTAACAATAATAATTTAATACATTTTAGGATGGGTGAAATACTCTTTTACATATATTAAAACACCAATGGATAATATCAAGTATAGTAAAGATATTTCAGATGAAATGCTAAAACAGCGTATGGAGAAGGAGATCCCAAGAATAATCTACAACTTCCACATTCAAGACATCTCTACAATATCTGGCGTTAACCTTCAAATACACCATTCCATCGTATGTTGCATTTGCCACTTTCAGAAAGACATTATGATTTTTTTTATCTACAAAGAGAAGCTGCCAGTCTAAAGACATGATGGAATTTAAAAGAGCAGTAAGTTCCAGAATTGAAACATGCCATAGTAAATTTCCTTTCATGGATGCCTGCAATTGCTTCCTGAGAACTGAGTAATTTCAGCTTGCCCATGATGTGTAGAAGAAATGCGGCAGAGCAGACTGAGGAATCGGAACCATGTGAAATACATTAATTTTTTTAGAGTTTTAAAACTCATCTCTTCCTATGAATTTTACATGAAACTGTATCAAAAATCAGTTCGCAACATCTAGCATATATGCTGAGTCGCTCTCACTTCTTTGCTTTGCTTGGTTTTTTCCATTGTTCGGTAAAGCATGTTTATGTTATACGGGAAAGCAAATTAAATACTCACCTACTTGATCACATTCATGAAAGTAAGTCAAACTAGTTTTTGGTAAATTAGTTACAGGATATTAGAATCCAGCATAGAAACACTCACATAAAACTGAAATGGATTAATTTAAATTTAGCTTAATTCACTTTCCCAGTAAATTAATCTAAAGCAAATTAAGGCCACTGTAATTCTAAATGAGATTTCAACAAGGGTTTAAGATGATTTAAACTAATCCATGTTGGATGCATGTTTGTAGTTAAATATTAATTAGTTTTCCAAAATGTCTCTCTTTAGATAAATACAAAGACAGACTATAATCAATATGACACATTTTTGACCAGCTGCTCTGGATGGCTTCCATTATGTGGTTTCACAAATGACATTGCACTATGATCAACTCTTAATTGTAACAACACAGAGCCCTAAGTTTAGGTATATTTCAAGGTTAACTATATTTATCTTTTACCCCAGTGAAATTAAGTATAAATTTAGTTCTAATTCTCTACTGCATAGCAGGAAAGCATATGTAAAAGGTAGCTTATAATAAAAAAAAAAATTATAACTGTACTGTCAGATAACCGTGCCTTCAACTGCTAAATACTGAAGTTTAAGGATATAGCTAACTCTCTACCGACTTTCATAAAACCTGGAAAACAGATTTCAAAAAAGTGGTAAATATTAACTGATAACAAATTTAAATATTTTTTTAACATATGTGCCAATTTTGTGCCAGTAATACATATAACATCCTCAAAAATCAAGATACAAATACGGCAGAAAAACAAATTCTTAAGTATGTGGGTCCCAAAATCTTACCTATCCTGCTGCAAATGGTAACCAGCAATTCACCGACTGTTTTAGAATCATCCACCATGACAGTTTTCACAGAACCATCCAACATACGTATTTTCTGAGGTCTCTGTTTCTTTTTGTACTCCAGTATATCCTAGGAAGTAAACAATACTATTTCTAAATGCTTTCGGAAGCCACCACAAGCCAACCCACTAACTGGGTTTTTCTTTTGTTATAGTATAGGCAAACTTCTTCATGTAACAAACTTGAGAAGTGGCCACTTCTAGTTCTGCCAAGGTAATTTTTCAAGAACTTGTCCTAGCTGGCAAGAGCAAAACCTAGACAGGGCAGGACAGACTAAAGTACCTTTCTGCTGCAAAAACTAGTTTAGCATTTTAAAAGGATAGCAACACCTTCTCGTTGCAAGCGAGCTGGCCATAATACGAGCAAGTATGACCTCATCATCTTTAGTATAAAAGAAACCTAAACCATAATACAAAGTCACTTCCAATGTAAAGCTTATTACAAAACTTGTTCCTTCTCTTTCTGTTCATCATTCTATGAAGACACTATTGGCCACAATAGCTCACAGTCACGACCAGACGCAGGAAAAAACTAACTACTGAGGCACAGCAAGGAAGAGAATTGGGCCAATTTCAGGAACAGACTCAAGACCCTCCTACCCCTCCAAATGCTAAACATTCTCCTTGCTACTTGGGAAACAAGTTTTTTAAAAACGTGTTGACGAACAAAGCAACAGACTTGCACCATACCCCATTTCTCAGCATATAATAATCCAGCGTCCTTCCAGCCTCCAGCCATATACCTTTTCGAGGATCTTCATCTGACAAGAACAATCCATAGTCAGAGGCTGTGGAACAGAAAAGACATAGACTCATTGAAAAATATCAAATCTAATAAAGCCAACATGTTTTATTTCAAGTTTATTTACCTTCAGGGTTAAGCTTCCATTACACTTGCCTCCCATTCTTAATGAACTTGGCTAGAAGGTTTTTTACATGCTTCAGAAAATACTTCGCTTAGCAGCAGACAGCAGGGTAGATCAGGCTTTATAGAAGACTTGAACAAAAGCTTCACTAAGCAACAACATGTCACAACTACTGTGTAATTTGTATTATATTTTTAATTATTTCTCTTGAAGATGACCTTTTTTAAATGCTCACAGGTCCTGCTTTGGAATTGCCTAACCAAAGATACAAGCAGTTTGGGCTTAACCATTGTATACTATTTTAAGCAGTAGTTCTATTTTAAAAAGACATATAGTTTGCTTTGAACCCTTCACGCACCGCATTTATGCTAAACTTTGGAATCTTTTTGGTAGATGTTTCAGGTTTAGGCATTTAAAAAAAATACAAGACACTTAGAATTATATCCATAATGAAAATCTCAGGAAAAACTTGCATCTATTGCAGGCTAAATACATGCCCATTGATTCTTTCAGAATCACAAGCACATGATAAAATTCTCATTGTCACAGAAGAGCAAACCCAGGCTTAGGTTTCAAAGACTAAACTCCAGGTATACAAAATTAAGTACCATGACCATCAACTTAAGAACCACCCAAAGCATCTCTTCTTGATAAAACTTTGCAGGAAAAATTGATACAGAGTACACTTCACTATCACAAACAGTGTAGACTACTGTTCGCCAGCTGAACCTGCTCTAATTGCAGTTCTACAGTCTAAGCTAAGGGCTTTTTTCACACAGGCTGGCCAGCTGCCTGCACACAGCCTGTCACAACAGCTGAGCGCAGGGAGAGTACCTTGTTTACTTCCAGCCATGTGTTTGGACCCTCTGATTAGAAAGTCAGGTAAAAATAGCTACAATTTTTGGACAATGTTTCATTTTCAAATGCCCTGCGTAGCAAGTATTTGCACTTACGCACATTTACATCAAAAACATTGTTACTCATGCAAGTACATAAAGGAGCTAAGAATTAATAGAAGTGTAACTGGCTTACAGATACATAATTTCAAAAGAAGAATCCTTCCAAAATCGACTGAATAGGAAGCAAAACTCTTCTTGCCGACCTTAATTAAAAATTGCTTTGAACAGCCAAGTGATCCATGCATAGAGATGTTTATGACAAAAAATTCAGTACAGAAACAGTTATGTAAAATTTTAGAATTTGTGCCTATAAATAGGTCGTGACCTTTAGAAGCACAGAAAATGCCTTGCACAACTACCAAGGAAGCACAGAGTGCTCTGATACTCATTTCTGGGGGATACACCCTAGTAATGAAATAGTAGTAGCTGTGCAACTTGCATGTTAACATCACGGCCACCTTTGTGCCAGCGTGTAAGCTTGTTGAAGTGAAATGTGCGTGGCTGACAGTCATAATGCAGGACAATCAGTTTGTACTGCAAGTCTGTGAGCCTTCTGAACTAACAGGCAAACACATTTTAACAGACACAAAGAACGGGAAGGGATATGTTAGTAACCTTATTTCAGTTCATCACTCCACTTCATAAAGTTGTTTGAAGTTCATAATTGCACTGCAATCACATATAAAGGAAAAGCCCGACTGTATAATCTGAAGAGAGTTCCTAGGTTCTTCTACGAGGTTCGCAATGTTCAAGGATATTTATTACTCAAATTCTTTGAATTCAACAGCTGTTCAAAATAACTGCCTTATGAGATCAGTATGGTAAAGATGTACATTTTGCATCTGAAAAATTGAATCTGTATAACTAGACTTCCTAAGGATTCCTGCAAAGGAGAAGCATTTCTAAGTAATGGAAATATTGTGCATTGCTTGTAGGTTTTTCTAACCGTTCAGACAAGACTTTCAGAACAGTTCTAAAGGTCGAGAGCTGTGCTTAAAACTCAATAAACAATATGTTTTAAGAATTACATTACAGTGGCATTACATACAGTACAGCAACAAAAGATTCTGAAGAATCTGAATATGACAACTTTGACTACATTTAAACCACATCTTTTGTCCAAGTGAAGACATATTTCACTGTCTACATTCATTTAATTTGCTCAATAGGTACAGAGACAGTTAAATTTGACTAACATGTAGCAGTGTACTGAATACGGTATGTGTAGCATGGTGATGATTTTACCTATTAACCAGTTCCAAACATTTCCCTTTACATATTTTTGAGATATCCAGCCATTACTTTTCAATTCATGTTGTCCCTTTCTTTGCTGAGGCACAAAATAAGTTGGCCCAGATTTTCATGGAAAGCATTGCCACAGACACTGCTTTAAAAAGATGGTACCACAAAAATTGCTCTCCAAGCAGGGAAACATCATCTTCCAGGCAAACAAACAATTAATTTAAGAAGTAAAAGTTCCATAAAAAAAGTATCCCTTGTAGAAAAACCTCTGTCACAACAGAAGGAAGAAAAATCCGTATGCCCTTTGAGCCTTTCACTCCAAAGCCTTATGATTTAAATAAAAAAACAAATCCTCCAACCTGAAAGATAAATGGAGGAACAGAACAGTAAAAAAACCATGGGTCTGTGTTTATTTTCAATTCAGCCAATGAATTGACTAAGAACAAATACAGGAACTCACCTTGCCCTGTTTGAGCCTCTGGCACTCGTTCACGAATAACTCTACAGGCATCATACACTGCAGTGGATGGTTCAAACTGCATCGTCTTCACTACATTGCACTGGCGGACACATATCTTCAAGGAAAGCGCTACCATGGTATCAAGTCCCTTGCAAGTTCCTACTAAAGTATCTGAAAAAGCAGCAATGGTATTATTGCTTAGAATTTTCCATTTAATGCTTTAATACACTCAACATTCCATTTAAAAAAAAAAATAGTTCAGCAGAATTATATGTATTCAAATACAGTTCTGTGTAAAGTTTCATTAGCATCAAGCTAGAAACTATCCAAAACATAGACTTAACGTATTTTTCTTGGTATACAGGAAATTTGTTTTCCGAAAACTTGTGTAGACATACTTAAATGTTGATACTTTGTCTAAGGTATGTCAAAATGGTGCATAAGAAAACAATACACTTATTGGGCATATTGTCAACATATTTACTACTGACAGAAAATTATTTCTCTCTCACCACAACTTTTTATTAGAACATTTGGATTAGCTGGTAATTAAGAGCTTAGTATTACTACTTAAATGAAGGCAGGATTTTCTTAGTACGTAACTTCTTCTTTTCTGAATAGTCTAAGAAGTGTGCAGTACCATGTTGTGCTATTTTTCATTTCAGAAACTTCACTGAATTTGACAGTATTTGTCTACAGAAACAGGAAGCTACAGATGCTTTTTGGTTTGTTTCATTTTGTAGATAGTCCGGGTTTTGTCTCAAGTGTCTTCCCTTACTGTCGTAACACTCCAAACCACCCTTCCATCATTAGGCTTTCCACAGCCATCTCCAAGAACTCTTCAGAACTGAAGTCCTTTCTGCATAAATACAGACTCTATTAGAACCCCCAAATCCTTTCTGCATAAATTAATGTAGGTGTATTTTAAATAGGAGAGCATGAGATTTTATGAACTACTGCCACTGATGACAATTTGAGCAGGACAAATTCTAATAGTTAAACAAAAATTTAAACCCCAGTTGTCCATCTTTTCACAGCCCAGATACTCAGTACTGTTTGGAAAAATGACTTTAACGAATACAAAGGAACCACCATTTACATTCTACCGATGCACTGAGCTCAGAGATTGCATTCCCTCTCCAAGGCACAGACAACAGACAAACCATTTCTCTATGGATAACTTAGGAGTAGCTTTGGCTCTAAGATGTCATCCTCCTCCACATTTTTGTGGCAGCCCATCCATCTGCCTCTCAAAAGCAAGTCATCCTACTTCAGATTTTTTTGTATTTCCCAGACCACTCACTACCAGTATGAAATGCGATACGACAAGACTACCTGACAAAGGAAAAGGGGCCAATGAGCAAAAAACATGCAAGAAACATTAATATATACAACTCAATGCTTTCCTAATCTATCAGTGTCTGGTAACAAAACAATCTGTATTTTGAACCAACCATTCTAGGCAGAGATCTAATAAACAAATGAAGATCTCTCCCTACTACCAAATACTGCTTCCTAAAATTACCATCCAAAAGGTCTTTACATTTCAGAAGCAATCATTCAGTATAGCAGCAGCACAAAATAAATGCAAGACAAAAAATAAATCTCTCCAGTGTTTTCACAGAGATTCACCATAACCAGGTTCAGTTTAGCACTTTATCATTTATACATAAGCAAACCTCAGAGCATTACAAAACCAAAAATATCTCAAGAAACCACAGATTGGAACAGTTTTTCACCATCCACAATGGTCCCCGGAAGAATAATTATATTCACACGTACTTACATGAACTGTTAAAAAAAGGTGGCACATTAAACAGCCAAAAAGAGACAGATCAGCTTGGAAAACAGTCTCTAGTTAATCGGAAGGCAACTGTTCTAACTCACAGGTGACCACCAAAACCTGGCTGTCAGCTTCCAAATGTGGTAAGGTGAGCCAGAATCCCTGCTCCCTCCTCTGTCTGGTCAATGTGTCAGAGCAGAGCCATTATACTGCAACCCTCTGAACTCCCTCTCTCCCCTATTTCTACTCCTCTTAAAAGAGGAAATGCTATAAGAGCAACACCAGTGAACAGGTACATTCTAGAAAAAGTTTTCATCTCCTCTTTGCTTTCTATTGAACCTGAAGGTAAGACTTGCAAGCCACACACGTCACATCTTCAGACTTCATCCGATTATCTTGTCTATCAAAAGGCAAAACGGATACTGACATTTTCCTACCAGCTTTCCCATGAACAAGCTGCAGTCTTAACTTTTGGTATGAATGACTTCAGTTAAAGGGAAACAGTCATTCAGAAAAAATGTAAGCATATTCAACAATCATCTTTTTTAAAAAAGAAATAACTTGAGCAGAGGCATTAAAAGAGGTCTCCTCTGCTCTGCTAACATATAAAGAAGTAATACAGATGACTGAACCTGTATTCTCTGACATTACAGCAAAGTGAATATAATACAGTTGCACAGACACATTGCAGCATCATCCGAAAGATCAAATTAAACTTCTTTTAATGGAGAAAACAGGATCCACCTGAAAAATCTTTGCGTGTAATGACATGACTGACTGCATTGTAGAATGGAATACTAGACAAGTGAATGAGTAGTCATAAATTAGCACCTGACTTGAAAGGTTCATGCCATACAAATCCTGTATTAACAGCACTGACAGTAGTGGGTCTCATGTAAGTTATGGTGATGTAATATGCTTTCTATGTATAGAACAAATATTGCATTATTGCAGAAAACAGCATTTTCTTTTAAGATGAAGGGTCACAAGATTACGGCACAAAAATAAATACAGTTGCTTGCAAACAGAAAAATCTACTTAATCTTTTAGTTAACCCTTTTATATGTAACACTAAAAAATGGATTTTAAAAAAGGGCACTAACTCACACCAAGGAACATCCAACTTAGTTCCAGTGTCTAATCTCCCTTTATGAATGGAGAAAAAGAGGCAAAAAAAACCCCAAATGGTGAAGACTGACCATAAAACTTTAACTGGAAAAATAAAAAATAAAATGAAATATTCTTGTAAAATTATTGTGATTTTGCAGTTTTTACTGCTGCTTTTACTAGACTAGCACAAATTTAGCATTCAGATAAACTTGACCTCACCTGTGAGATCCAGAACAGAGTCAGTCAGAATTTGAAAGCAGTTTAAGCAGTACAGCATTGTGTCACATACCTAATAAATTTAAAAACAAGCAGAGAACCCATTTCTTAAAACTTGGGCAAAAAAAGTTATTTTAAAATACATTAAGTAGTTTCTCAGCTTGTTAATTTTTTGACCTTGTGATCGCACACCACCATGTGTGTCAGAAGGACCTCAAGAGGCAGCCTAGCCTAGTACCTTGCACTTCGAGTTTGTGGTTTGGCCTCAGCCAGCAACAAAGAACCACGAAGCCACTCACTCCACTCCCACAGCCCACCCCCAAGTGGCAACTACCCTCCTCCACGGGCTAGCGCCTCTTATAGCCCGGGCAGGGGTCAGGTGGGATGGAACACCTGCCCCCCGGCCGGCTCTGGGCGGGGTGGGGGAATTAACCCCATCCCTGCCAGTACCAGGACAATGATGCATCCCTATGCTGTTCCTGACGGACGCTCATCTAATCTGTTCTTACAAAGCTCCTTTGAAATGGAGTCCACAACATCCACAGGAAAGCTGCTCCAATTTTTATTTCTCTTTCTAGTACTACTATTATTTTGGGTGGTTCCTCCCTACCCTAGGTTGAAACTAGGTTTCTCTGCAAAAGAGCCTTTTTTCCCCTGCCCTACATAAACCGACATAGGAAATCCTTGTCATCTTTAACACAATTTTACAAGTTGGAAACCTGTTACTCTGTCCTCCCAATTCCGCTCCTTTTTTCAGGGTCAAATTCAGCGCCTTAAAGAAGGAAGGATCTAAACACATCAGTGGTCTAGTCTCCTTCAACTCAGTGCTCTTGGTTTCAGACACACCAAAGGATGCTTTTTTCAAAAACAGCTTATGAAAAGAGCCCATGAGTTATCAGCTTCCTCTAACACTGTGTTCTCAGACTTCAGAGGAAGGGTTTCATCTGCCTCCTCCAAATTACTCTCAGGCTCTAAACCTCCCTGATTGGCTTTCAGTAGTAACAGGAACAGGCAGTTTCCATCTCCCGTGTAACAGCCAAAATAGGACAGCTGTTTTTGTCTCAGAAGAACTAAGAACTTGGTCGAGAAAAAGGGCTGAGGATCACAGAGAAAAACAAGGGAAAAATATCTTCTGTGTTCCCTTTATCTTCTATACGTTCATTCACACCGCATTTGAATATTTCTCAGTGCAGGTAATGGACTCTTTCTGCTCCCCAATATGACTCGGCCTCTGGAATGGCTGACCAAAGTCAGAGTGTCCCTGGAAATTAAGAGGATTCTGGAAAGAATGGTTTGCCTGTACTAAGTCTAATGCTCTATAAGTAATCAAGTAGGTAATTTCTAAATCAGACTGATTGATCTGTACTTACAAAGGCTGTAGGCTGAAGTAATAAATTACGGACCTGACAGGTTTGGGAGAGGTACCAGCAGCTCTGAGCTCTTAAAAAAAACCCACAGATCACCAGTGAGAGAACCCAGTGCCTGCAGGTATGTATTCTGGAGTGTATACGTCAAGGTCTCAAGTTGAACCATCACAGCACCCAGGTTCTAGGAAACCCCAGATGCAATTTGGTTGCATCAAAATGTGTGCCCACAGAGATACCTCAGCTGCAGTTACTGTATCCTTCCCAAAAGCTCCCTGCATAGACACACTCTCACAACAGCTAGAGCTAGGATGCTGTTACTGTTGAATTACAATAGGTGTTGGCTTAGAAGCAGATACATACTCAATGAACAGTTACACTACTTTTCTTTAACAATTTCTTTTCATTAAAAGAAATGTTCTGAAATTCTAGGGACCAATATTTACAAAACTAAACATCTCTTCATTTCTTGTAAAGTAGGTATTTTCAGTGAAACAGTTTGAACATTAAATACAAAAAAACCCATTCTTTGCTGAAATAGCTACAAATATTTGTACACCTGAACATCCCCAACCAGCTCCTTAAAGAGCCTTCTGTAACAATACATAATAACGAGTTGTCTGCTGTTTGTGAATCTATGTTGAAAGCATTAAGATGATGACA